GTGAATATTTTCTTCCCATCCGCTACTGTCTCGACATCAATCACATCCTCACATTGCAAACCTACCACATCACACACAACCCCAACCGACATCGAACTGCTGCATTTCTTTTCCACCTTACACGTCCTACTCTATACATCTGGGTACTCATACCCTAGCAACTTCAGATTTTTCTTCACTTTCTCCTTGATATTACGCACGAACGAGTTCACACCACCAGCTTTCCTACCACCTTCTGCCTGCAAAGGTCTTACAACAACCACATCATTGTCATTCAGTTGCATGAAATCATCTGTTACATAACTGTCCCCTATAGGGACGTACGCGGCGGGTGATGCATCCAACACTATGCTATCATGGACTGGTGGGTTGTTATTACTGCGCCCTAATGCGACATTGACATCACCACCTACCCCTGTAACCCCATCTATTTTGCTTACGTTAACGCTATTGAAACATTGCATAACATTGTGCACAACGTGCTCGGCAAGTTGCTTCCCAAAGGCTGCAACAGTTCTTCGTAACTCTACATTATCAGCTTCTAGTTTTTTGCATTCCTCGTCTTTCACTCTAAAAATTCTCTCAAAACACCCCACCAGGTTAACTGCTTGCATCTCATTTTTCTATTTCAAACGAGCAACTTCATTTTTTAGCTCTGTTATAATCTGGCTTGCAACACCATCCCCCAACATCATTTCGGCTTCAAACAGATCAACGTTAACACACTCGTCCTATCCAACTTCACTACTACACTGTCGTATAGGTTGCGTACATAGCGCAGCATAATCTTCACGAGCTTTTTCTCCATGTCGTCCATTGTTTATATTTGAAATTGCCGTCCTCGGGTTGGTCTGCATGTTCCTGCAAAACTCGTTACCTAATTCAACACCTAATACGTCCACACCTTCAGTCATGTTACAAACACCACCCGACACCATACACCCCCTCCGACAGTCAGCACCCACTCCAACAACTCCTTCCACTCGCACAGAATCCTCTTGCAATATCATAAACTCATGCTCTTCGGCAACTAACTGTTCCGTCACCACCTACAGCAAACAGTAACACAATTAACCTACCACACATGTTGTAATAAAGATACATAGCAGTTACACCACTAAAATAACTGGCGGCTCAAAAGAACATACTAACCAAAAAAACGTACCTTAAAGTTGTTTGGGCCAGATAATTTCAAACCACGCAAACGCGATACCACCTCACCAATGTCCCACTTCAGGAACCTGGGAAATCTATGCGTATATTTGGCTTTCACATTAGACATGTGTTCACATAGCCAAAACTGGAGTGCAATCAAACACAAAACAAACCCAATCAACCACCAACTAATTTACTAACAAAAACCATAACAGTGGTAAAAAAAAATAATAAAATACCAATCAAACTATTTACATAATAATTACCGTCAAAGCAACTACATAACCGATCACTCTTTCTGATTTTCGATGAAAATCCCTCACCGAACACATTAACGCGTTACGTACAGCTCTATTCCAATCATACAATTTCATTGCATCATTGTTGTCCACGTACCGAATGAACGTCCAACTTATTGTCTCTCCGAATGTTGCAAAAAACAACTTACCACACACATATAGACACAGGAATTTTGCAGTGTCCTCATGGTCACGGGGTGTATCACCGGCTGCCGCCTCGATCAGCAAATCCCTGACAAGTTTTGCAGTAATGCGGCTTGTTCCGGGGTATCTATGCTGTACAAAATCAGATGCAAGTCTTGGCTTTGGCATCAAATGAAGGAATGCATTCCCACCTTGTAAACTAAACAACAACTTCACATCCTGATCTGTAAAATCAATACCTCGTCCCTTAATAAAACTTCCCCTCCCTGACGTTGTACGACCTTATAATTCGCACAATCAGGTCGTCCCCTTTCCTGAACTCCGTGTGATCAAGCTGATTGATTAATATAACTTCAATCATTACCCAAAAAGGCGTCTTCCTCAAATGTGCCAAATGCACGTCCCTCAAGTTCGTAGCGTAAACCATTTTAATGATTCCGGTAACGTTAAAATGGAAATTCAGTCTCGATTTCGGCCGTTTGCTAACACCAACAGAACAAGCCTCAACGTTAGGCTGCTTGAACAGTACTCGTCCTGGCATGTTCACCCCAAGTTTACTTGTAGACGCCAACCCAACAGCAGCACACTATTCACATTCACACGACCTCGTCCACAGACAAAACCCATCTTCGTACCTGTAATTAACAACCTACCATAAGCAACACTTACAAATTAAAATAACAAACCCATTAACCAATCAAACAATAATCAACAGGACTATAGTAATTTCATTTGTTTGACAACAAGCTGACAATAACAGAGAAATCAAATGCACTGGGATCCAAAAACATTTTCCACATCAAAATAAAAACATGGACACGAAGAACAAAACCACCGATACGTTCATCAACGACAAAAAACAATCGTCCAACATTACCGTCAATCGTAAATTCACACAACCAATTATGTTGAAGTTTTTACCTATACAGTAACACACCCAACTAGACTACAATTATTACAATCGTTCCACAACAATGTGACAACAACACAACCAAATACAGTACGGCCCAATAATACTTACCAATTCAAAACAAGAACCATGGACAAAAAACAAAAAAAAACCTACCACGTACGACAACGACGTAACACAACCAACCAACATTACCATTATTCATAAATCCACACAATAAATCACGTTTTAAGTCTTCAACGGTATAAAAACACATTCAACATTCCAGTTAACGTACAACTAACACATCATTAACCATTACATATAAAAATCTAGTCAAAGAAACCAAGTGACAATAAACCCCCAAATTACAAGTACTTTGTAGCCATTAAACTCCTCCACATGAGAGGACATTTAATAGTCTTCATACAACATATTCCCACCACAAAACAGTTACCAACACAGACACCCCCTGAGCTAACATTCACATAACCCCACATTACCACATGCACACACACATCCATACAATCAATAGTCCTACATATACAAAGTGCCCCACATTCAATAAAATAAATTCTTACAAGATGTACGTCCACCATCCCACATCCAAACAACACATTACACACATTGGTAAACACACCAAAAACCATATCACTAATATAAAAAGCATACATCAAAAAGGGGATACCACAGCCTCAAACTAACTAAACCCTAATCACATCACAGTGGTCCTAAAAAAATAATCCAAACATTGAACAACTTACGTTTATGAGACATATGAACACGATTTCTGCAGACACCATCAATGCACCTCAACTCTGATTGAGGTGTTCACACAAAATATCCCACAGTTGCAGGGATGAATTAGGGTTTTCACGAACACGTTGTCAACGAAATCACAGATCATACAGATTCGAATTCACACAATAGTTCTATCAAATATTCCCTCCATTAATAATGTAGGTTTCGAAATCACACTAATTTGAAATTCAAATCTACAATGACTAACAAATTGTAGGGTTCTTCTTCTCAATCACCATGGTTTCATCTGTCCAAAAATGAATATGTTTGATTCGAATTTTGGAAATACAACCAGCGGGTCGGGTATGCCCACGAACATGTATCGAACTTCTGCATGGGTTTCACACTTTCCACAATTCACGTTCACAACACACGCCACTAATACACACCAGCTAAAAACATTACTAGTGCACTTTTTCCATTGCGTTAATGTCAAACACATCCCAATTCCCATAAACAAACGCACCCCTACAATTCCCAAATTAACTCATCAGTGGCAAAAATGTAAACGACCAACCATAAGGACTATACGGTTCAAAAGAAAACAATTAGGACCACATGATCTACAAGATCACAAAATGGGATTTACTAGTCAATTCCCCCAAAAATTATTTATTTATTTATTTTATATAAAAATAATTTAACAATCCCATTACTAATCATCTCTCACACTATCATCATAACAAACACACTTTTACTTAATCCACCTCACTAAGAATTTTTCCCAATCATGTATCAAACTTATCATCAAATTTGAATTTGATGAAAAATGGTTCATTTTCAGCTCCAATGATTTCATCAAATCGGTATCAAATCGAGAATATCAAAATTGTTTCACCAAATAAAGGACATCTGGGAGCTTTTAGCATTTCATTGTTTGGTGCTGTTGATTTTGCAGAACTGAACGTCCAGCCGGATGTCTCCCCAGTCATCTGCTTAGTTGAAAAATTCCTACACCAAAGCACACTCTTGGAATCGATGGATTACTCTTGCCGGTCGACCAATAGGTCTTCCGCTTGGTCGTTCTCCCGATCGACCGGTGTGTTGATGACAGCAAAAAATGCTCCGTTGAAGTGCTAGATATCAGATAGAGTTTTTACTCAAATTTAGTGAAATAAATGATACACCGTTGGAGATGATCTAACAATCCTCATATTAATAATTTTTTTACTGACCATTTTCTTACTAACAATCTCATCCAACTTAATCCGCCAAACATGACCGTACCATCAAATTTTGCTCCACCAAACCCACCGTACCAAACACAAATATTAAAGTAAGGGTGGTTTGGGGATTGTATTTTGTACTAATAATTTTTAAATTTCAAAAAAAAAATTAAAAAAATAAGTTAAATTTTAAATTTTTTTAAAATAAAATCTTGACTAAACCAGGCCTTTCTCAAAGGCTGTTGTCACGTTTTTGTCCGGAATAATAGCCACGTATAGAGTCAAAAAGGAAATTCTAATATACATAGGGATGTGTTATATATATTTTTAATTATTTTATTTTTTTAATTATAATATTATTTTAGTTATAATTCATAAATTTTTTTAATTACTATTGGTATTAGGGTTAATTATGTCTATTTTTTAAAATTTTAATTATAAAATAAAAAATAAAAAATTATATTAATTTTTTTTAAGCTATAGTCAAAATCAATGAGACACCCTTTTTCTCTCTCGTCTCGTCTTTTAATACCCGGAATTTACGACCTTCGAAAGACCAAAGGTTCCCGTTTTTTTCCCCACAAATCATTGGAAAACAGAAACACCGAAAGCAAAACAGCACCGCTACTCTGTGTTTTTCAAAAGCAAAACTGTTTTCAATCTCTCTCTCTCTCTCTCTCTCTCTCTCCTCTCAACAATGGCAGCTAATCCCTCTTCTCTCTCGTCGTCCCCTCACTGTTCTCTCCCACTCAACCGCTCTATCTCTCCCCGTTTTCATCGAACCTCGTTGAACCTTGCTTTCTTCAACAACGACCCTCCGAGTCCGAGGCTCGTTTCGGTTCGTGCCCAGAACCCCAGTTCCGAATCTGGGTCGGGGCCCAAGATGGCCTCGCATTTGGATGGAACAGAAGCTTCGTCGTCTTCTTCGGCCATTGATTTCCTCACATTGTGCCATCGTCTTAAGGTATGTCTTTGAATTTGATGAATTGGTTTGATGATCGGTGATTGAATTGTATTGACTCTACATGCTGTACCTGTTGCTTGTTTTATAGCTGATTGATTGCTTGAGATTGGACATATTTGGTTGCAATTGAGAGATTTTATGATGAAATTGAAGCATGAAATTGGGTTTGTGTCATATGATGACAAAAAAATAAAATAAAATGGTGGGTTCGTCTTTATATAGCTGTGATGTGCGATTAATCAATGAATTCCATGGCGGGTAGGAGATGGCAAAATCTAGTAGTAGTTTCTTTTTAATGCTTGGATATTATCTAATGGAGCATTGAATCAGTTTTGTTGATCTGTGAGCATTGCTATCCTAACATGAAATCTTGGGGATTTTGGTCTATTAGTAACATTTATTAAAGGTAATTTTGGGTAAAATGAGCTGCCAACCTCTAGTTTGCTACCGGGAATAAAACAGCTAATACTGTGTAGTGCGAGGGAGTATACCAAGGGGAAAAGGTTTACCTGCCAACAAAGTGGAAGTCCTTGAGAGTCTTAAAGGGTTTTAACTACTATTAAATGTTGTTTTAGCATATTCCATTGGTCCTAGGGGCTTCATTGTATTGGTCTGGTTTGTATTAGTGAGGTAGATGGGCCAGCAGATGAATCAATGGTTCACTGTTCCATTTGATTCGAGTGTGAAAATAAGTGAGCAGTGGACTAGAGTGTTTCTCAAGTTGAAAGAAAATAAAGGAATTGGGCGTTGATGGAGTCCTGGTTAACGTTGAGAAAATTGTAATGGCTTATCACTCATTTAACCTGCTATGTTATGGGGCTTATGGATCGTCTTGCTGGTTATGAAATCTTTATCATGGAACTTCATACTCAACAGACAAAAAATTCATGACCTGCAAAGTAATTTTTTTTTTTTTTTTTTTGGGTTGAGTAACCTGCAAAGTAATTCACTACTATATATCATGTAATATGTTCTGTAGCAATTGAATTATTAACCATTGGCTAGCATTACCAGCTTACTGTTCTTTCACTCCTTATGCAACACCTTCCAAGTTCAAACCCTAAATTGTCATACTCCAATTAACAGCTAATCGATCAGTGGCCCTTTTCCATGTCATCCATCTCTTTAAGAAAGAAACAAGTAGTATCGGGTGATTTTAGTTTCATTTGGTAATGCTGAGTTGTGATTAGCCACCGTCAGATATGTTGCACAGTTCGATGGGATCCAAAGTACCGAACTACCAATTTTGAAGTTTCTAGCATTGAGGAAGATCTATCAAAGGTTGATGACAAAGCTGTAAGGAGAGACATATCCTGATTCCTGTTTCCTTTTCATTTCATTGGGAGTCAGTGTACCTTTTCATCCTTGAGCACCAGGAAACTTCTATAGGAGCCTCACTCCTTGCTCTGGAACCTCACTCCCACACCCAACTTTACATAGGCCCTCCTCCCCAGTCTCCACTCTCATTCCTAACCCAGTTCCTGCTTTGTGATCTTCAAGAACTGACTAGACTGACTAGATAACTTTACTCTTCTAGACCTGTGTTCAACAGTGTAATTATGAGTGAAACAGCCTCAAGGAGGCTCATTTTGCAGCTCGTAAACTGCTGTTGAATTTGCCAAGTAGAGAGCACTGAACTATTTCAATTTTTATTCCTTGCTTTATTCCTAACCCAGTTCCTGCTTTATTGAGGTTGCCTTGAAAGGCTTTTTTATATTTGAAATTTCTTCAAAATAGGATACATATTTAATATACTCCCTCCATCCTAATTTATTTGTCATTATAGAAAATCCAACTTATTAAGGATACATGCAATCATTACACTCTAATTCAAATTTTGAAACATTTTTCCCACCATTGCCCTTCTATTTAAAATTTAAAATGAGTTTATAATGATTTATAAGGGGCAACTTTTGGAAATCTAATCAAATTTAGTATCCCAAAATAGAAAGTGGACAAACATTTTGGGACGGACTAAAATGGAAATTTGGACCAATAAAATGGGACGGAGGGAGTATATATATGGACTTTATTTTTTACCTATTTGGAATCAAATTTAATCCTGATTCATTTTTTCATTCCATTTCTTGGCATCGTCCTTTTATGTTTTGATGATTATCATATTCCTTTTCTTATATATTAATTTGTTTAAGTGCTTTATGGTATTTTGAGTTATGTTACTTGATTTTATCTTTTAATCACTAATTCAAATGGGTTGAACTTGAGAGTAGCCACTTTGTACATGTATTGCCAAAGCTTTGGTCGGTATCCAATTAACCCCTCCCAAGCATGGGACTGAACTGTGCGTACTTTGTTTTATTATCTGTCATTCAAAATAAAAAATGATATAATTTTCTATGAAGCATTCATTGTTTGAAAGATTCTATTGTTTCTTGTATAGTATCATCTAATCTCTCTCTCCCCATTTTGTAGACCACAAAGCGGAAGGGATGGGTCAATCACGGAATAAAGGGTCCTGAGTCTATTGCTGATCATATGTATCGCATGGCATTGATGGCTTTAATTGCTGGTGACCTTCCTGGTGTGAACAGGGAAAGGTTGGCTTTGGTCAAATTAACAAAGACTTGTGCTTTTTTATACCTTATATAAATTTGCTAGCTAGTTACCATGACATTCTGTATGTTTGCGTGCTAAGTGAAAAAGTTTGGATTTTTTGCTACACCTATCTTGTGAATTTGTCTGTGCCAATAAAAATGTATGATAAGTATGTGATAAGGTAAACATTCAGCTACCTGATAGCCTGATTAAATTAATCATTAACTATTACCCTTCAAATCCTTATCAATACTGTACTCAGAGCATGGAGTTCCTACATTTGCCCATCCAGCAACACTTCTTATCTCCCCTCTTTTTTAGTGATGAGTCTGATGACGTTATGTTACAGAGCTGTAACTTGAATTTGAAGGAAAAATAGCTAGTAATTGCATACATATAGGAGATAACTTGGTTACATTTTCTGAAAACCTTTCCATACACTAGCCAGACACTGTATGATACTCGATGGTTTTTCAGTTGCCCAAGTGCATTCCAATTAAGTCTAATTACTTTTTGTCTTCTTTTTCTCATTCAAACAGGTGCATCAAGATAGCAATTGTGCACGATATTGCAGAAGGTATCTTTTTGAATCCATCTTTTTTGTTTCTTTCTTGATATCTTATATTGAAAATCGTCATATTCCAAGACTAAGTTCATTAAGATGAAGAGGGATCAGGCTTTGAACATCATCTCTTTAACTATCATTTTTTCAAATGCTGAATGAAGCTTAAGTTTCTGGTGTAGGTTGAGGTTGGTTTTAGGTGCAACCAAGTTTTTATTTATTTATTTATTTCTATTTATTTATATATATATATATTATAATTCCCTTCTTGAGTTTGGAGATAATGCTTTAATCTTTTGTGATAATAATCATATGGTACAAGTATCGACAGTTGTATCGTAGCACATCAGTTTTTACATCATGAGAGCACAACCTTTAGTATGTTCTAGGTTTCATATTGTTCTACACTTGAATGTTGGTTGACATGACTCTAGTGTATATATTATTAGGATTAAGGTTCAGGAGCTTCAAATGTAATGCATTTGAAAATTATTGAAGTGTTTGAACTGTTTCACTGGAAGGATCTAAATTCTTTCAAGCTTTAAAATGTGATGCTTTTTCTCTTTAAGAGTTGTACCATGAAGTCCTGCCAGTGCAATATGCTTGGTGTTATCTTTCTTTGTCTCATTTCTTCCAATTTTTGTTTCCTATAAATATGGCAAATATGATGGGAGAATTTCTAACATATGCGTGTTCTTTCTTCCAATTCTAGATTTCACTTTTTCTTATAATCCCCTGCACAAAACCTAAGATTAATACAGAAGACTGGTGTTGTTGGAATGGTATCAAAGATTCACAATCTTTTTGCAGCATACTGTTTTATAACATTATTTAATTCATATTCAATGCATCATTTGTATTTGTTGGCAATTTGTGTTTATCTTACTTTGAAAAAGTTAGCTATGCCTTTTTGGTTTTGAGTTTGGAGTTTGAGATGCATGTTGGACTCATGTAGCAATTGTTGGAGATATAACACCATCTGATGGTGTGCCTAAACAAGAAAAGAGCAGACTAGAGCAGGCAGCTTTAAATGAAATGTGCGAAGTTCTTGGTGGAGGGCTCAGGGGTACTCTCTAACACTTGGTATCTTGGTTTGTTTCATGTTCATTTCCTTGGCCTTAAAACTTAGTTGTAAATTGTAATTAAATGTCTGTTGTTTGCAGCTGAAGAGATGAAAGAACTATGGGCAGAGTATGAAAATAATTCTTCTATTGAGGCTAATCTTGTGAAAGATTTTGACAAAGTGCGTAGCTACTAACGCCATTTGATATTCCAAATATTTTTTCACACCAAATAGTCTTTACATTTCGAAAAATTCTTTTACTGGTATTGCCTCTCATTATTAACTCCAATCTTTTGACATGATATTCTGCACCAGTAAAATTTCACCATATGCTGAATCTCTATTGAGACTTAATTTCTTTCTAGACTAATTGGAGGGTCCCAATGGCATGCATCCATTTGGAATTGAACCAATGAATTTAATGTTATGCTTTTTTTTTTTAAGATTATAAAAATGTTTATGAATGGTCTGGTGTTTTTAGCTTTGAGAATTGCTTGTTTGTACAAAAATCATTGTGAAAATAAGTGCTTGCTTTGATGATTAATAGATCTGCCATGAATGCAAACTAGGATCCGCTTTGCAGGCTTTGAACTACATTTCATCATGAAAGTTTCCCCCCCTCCCCCTCTTTCTTTTTACTTGGTTAGATTTTCACATATTGGAATTAAGTCATTCACCAATATACTTGATGAATTTTATCATTTTATATAACTATCCAACCCAGGGCGGCCTCTGATCTTTGTTACCTGCCATGTGTTTGTGTTTGTGTTTGTGTTTGTGTTTGTGTTCGAGTAAATATTTCAAGTGTGTACAGTTTTGTAGGCAACGAAATCCTAAGCTCTCCTGTCTCATAATGATGATTTCACAAGCCGTCTAACCTATTTTCATGTCTCCAGGTTGAAATGATTCTGCAAGCATTGGAGTATGAAACGGGTTAGTTTTATGTTTTTCAAATGGTTATTTACTTACATAAATGTACTAGTATACAACTAGCTTCTGTGATGTGTAGAATATAATTTTTTTCTTTTTTATTGTTTGGCATCATGATTAAATTAATTGAGTGTCATCCAATATTTTAATTCATTTGTTTAGAATTTATGTCATTCTATGTGATTTCAGATTTGAAGTTCTTAGGGCAAGCTGCAAGCCTTTAAACACAACTGGCCTCTATTTTCGGCCTAGTCATAATACATTGAACATAATTATATTACAACAAGACTACTTACCAAGAAAAGAAAAAAAAAACCAGTTTAGTGTCCAGAATCTGAAATGTGTAGATCTATGATATAGATTCAAATTTTGGCACTAATGGTTTTTCTAGATACATGACATTTCTGATTGTAATATATACTCAACAAATAATTGAGTATTGATGCATTTACCTGTTTCATCAGCTCTGATCTCAATTGATTTTTCTATAGAAATATTATTTATAAATTATAATTTTTTCTTGAGACTAGATTCTATTCAATCTTTGAACCTAGGATATTAATGGAGGTTTGTGTAGTCTCGGGACTGAAAAGGCAATGCCTATATTTGTTCTTTGTGGTCCCGTCTTCGTAACATGGTATTGAAAGTTTAAACCAGATTAACAATTAAGCCAGAGCAATGTTGACATGTTTGTGTAGGTTCTTTCTGAGTGAAACTTTTTTTAAAGATCTGTTGTAAAGAGCATTATGAGTCATTTTGAATCTGGTTTAATCTTATCAATGACCATATTCTTTAGCCTGCCTATAGCTCCATTCATTGATATGGTTTTTCTAATTTAAGTGTTTGATCAAAGCCCATTTTTTTCATTTTTCTATTATGATAATGTTGTATCCAGACCTCTCTTCTTTTGCTTGCTGTATTATGTCCTCAAAGTCTAGAATGCTGATTATCTGAATTTAGCACCGGTGAACTGATTTCTCATGTTTTGTGTCGTGATGATGTATCAGAGCATGGGAAAGTGCTGGATGAGTTTTTCCTTTCAACAGCAGGTGAACTTAATAATTTCTTCAACTTCAACCTGCATATATACACAAAAACGGCTGATGTACAGTAAGCTTACTTCCATGCCTCCCTAGTATTTTCATCCTATGTGTTTTTCCCTTTTTTGCAGGGAAATTTCAAACTGAAATAGGAAAGAGTTGGGCGGCTGAGATCATTTCTAGGAGAAATTCAAGGTTGGCAAACAGGCCTAATTGATAACCAGCTCCACTAGAAGTTCTTACATTTCTTGGTTGGCATTAGCCGATTCCTTTTGAATTCAAAATTGCGCTGCCCTCTCACCTGGTCATCAGATGTTCCTCGGTCTGATATTTTTGCAGTCCATGAATGTGAAAGTATGACAATCTTACATCTGACAGCAAGCATGACAAGGATTCACCATCATTTTCTAAATGACCAAAGGTGTTGAACTCTTAGAACTCAAAAGGGTATTATATACTATGGTGCTTACATTTTATCTGATGAATTTCCAATATAATTCAGCGTCTTTTCGGATAATGTAATTTAGCATAATTTTGTAACTGAATCAATGTATGGGCCTATCCTTGTTGGTTTGGCATGTGTTTAGTTTTCTGTTTCACATGTCTCTCTCCTGTAATTTCACCACCATCCGCTGAGGAAAATGGCCTAAATATTCTCTCTACTCTTTTTGTAAAAATGCAGAACACTAAAATTTTCATTAGGATGGTGACATCTTTAGGAAAGGCAGCTTACCATTTATTATAGTTCTTAAAAAAAATAAAAAAAAATAAAAAGGGAGAGGAAGAGAGAATTCTATATATTGTATTTTTTTTTATTTTCAGGATAATGGTAACAACTTCAATGTAGAACAAACATTAAAATCAAAACGACATCTGAATACATTAATGAAAACAGCAATCTTTCATTGTCACAGTTGTGAGTCTTATTTTGCATACTAGCTTGGCTTAGCACCAAAAATAAAAAATAAAAATAATAATAATAAATTCAACTCTTGTAATAACCTTTAATGGGCAAGAGACTACACGGTGTTCTAGCAAGTTTTTTTTTTGTTTTTTTCGTGTTTAGAAAAAAAAAATTTCAATTTTTAAAAAAGTTTTAGGTTTCTAGATTCAACTCGACAAGATTAGAAAATTATAATTTTAAAAAAAAAATCGGAAATGACAAAAATAAACCAAAATATTTTTTTTTTTAATTTTCATCTTTAGTGAATTTTTTTTTAAAATTTTTTAAAAAATTATACTTTTTAAACTTGTCTCAACAAGATGAATTAAAAAAGTAAAAAGTTTTTACATAATTTTTGTGTAGTTGTATGGTTTGGAATTAAAAATGTTCTTTTTGAACAAGTCAATAACTTAACCAGGTCGAATTTTAATGAGTTGACAACAAAATCTGACACTAAGGCTCCACCAATTTTTTTATTGAAAAAGTTTCTTTGTACTTGAACGCCCACCAACCCATTTGGAATTCTATTATTTTGAGAGGTGTACCATTATTATTTAAACGGGTGCTAAGAATAATTAGGTTATCATCAAGGTGAGAAAAACAAAAAAATAAACAAACAAACAAAAATAAAAAAAAATAGTGAGAATAAAATCAAGTTTGACATCTTTTAAAAAAGTCAAAAAGTCATTATCCTATTTAAATCACATCATCTCATTTAAGTCACATCACCTCTCTAACATATCACTTCTCTAACACATCACTTCAAACCCAACCCAAATCCAACCCATATTTCATAAAAAGTCAAAAAGTACACTTATTTAGTCTTCCCAAACTTAGCCTAAATGTACCTTCTTTTTTTCTTTTTTCTTTTTTGTCTTTTTTCCACGATTTTATAGACGTTTACATATTTATTAATAGTATTTATCCATTTCAATTTTTTTTTTTTTTTCTCAATAACGCTTTGAATCTATTGATAATTTCAAGGTCATTAGCATTTTCCTTTTTCATATAACAAAAATGTCTTGTATTATAAAAGTCCACATATTATCACCAATACCTATTTGAATTACATTATTATAATGATACCCAAACAAATATGCATATATATCTATACTGTTTGTTCTATTTTATAAAATGTATATATCATTTGGTTCTGTTTGGCAAGAGTTTTTTTTTAGCTATTTTAGTCACAAAAGACAAAATAAGTTATTTTAGTCACAACAAACAAAATATTACATCAAATCCATAATCATTACACTCTTTTCTCACAAAAAAAGTCAAAAAAGTCGAAAAGTTCTTCCCAAACCAAACTTTTTAACCCAAACTAAAATAGTCAAAAAAGTCAAAAAAACTAAAAAATTAATCCACTTTCAAAGGGAGGCTTAGTGTGAACGTTATCAAGTTTTCTTCTTTTCTTCTACATCTAGTAATTGCCACATCAATAATTGATTCTTCTACATCTAGCTATGGCCACATCAATAATTGATTCATGAATATTATCAAATAGCCCTAAATTACTAAACAACTTTACTCATTCGTCAAGCTGTCCACAATTATCAAACTATACAAAATTTTAAATGTAAAATTACAAATGCAAAAATGGTTGTGACCCTATGGAATGCAAGTTTATTTTGGAGAACAATTTGAAAAATAAAAAAAGATTGAATTTCTCTCATGTTTACATCTCAATAAAATAAAAATAAAAAAGTGATAAAACTTGTATTTATACCAAGGGGTCTTTTGGGAAGTAAAAAAAAAAAGATTAGCTTTTAGCTTTTTACTCATTTTGAGTTATATTACCTCTCAAATTTTTTATTCACAAAAAAACAAAATAAACTTAAAAAACGAAAAAAATTAATTTTTTACCAACTTTCTAAAATAGTACTAAACTAGGTGTACATTATATGACTACTAGTGATTGTAAATAAGATACATTCACTACCAAAAAGTAAAAGTAAAAATAAAATAAAATAAAATAAGAAAGATAAATTACACTTACAATTTTTGAGATTTGAATTTAATACATATCGCCTCATAATATTTAGAAAATTACACTAACCCTGTGTCATTATAATTATTTAGACAAAATGACATTAAACTCATGCAATCTCTCTTTTCTTGTTTTGCTTTACTTCCTCTTCTTTTTTTTTTCTTCCTTTGTTTTACTTTTTATTTTTTAATGTAATTTTTTTTATTTTTTTACTAGGAGTTGCTGCCTTTTATATAAGCAGGGAATTTGTGAAATGAGATTATTAATCACAAGAATGTGAATGTAATTCCTAAAACGTCTGGGATGAAATATAATTGGACCAAATTTCAGATGTGTCAATCTAATTTACCCTAAAATTTGAAATTCTGAAACTAATACGCTTACAGTGATCCAAATTCTTCTGATTCAAATTATGTCAACCAATTAAATACAATAATAAAAATAAAATAATAGTTAGGCTCTCAAGGTGTCGTTTGAATTTGTCAAGAAATAAATCAGTATTTATGCTAAAATATTCACAAATAAAATACAAAATCAAGAAAAATAAATTCAGTTTTTTGGTCAATCTCCAGGCTCCATCAGAAAAGTCCAAGTGTACCGACAAATTCAGTTTTTATGTATTTTTTATATTAGTTGTAACCCAATGTAAACATGCACCTTAATTAATTATTAGGAGTCATAAGACTTTTTGTATATAAAGACTCTCACCGTTTTAAAACAAAGATTAACTAAAAAATTTTGTAATTAAAAATGTCACTAAGATGGATTTTATATTGAACACCAAGAATCTTTATAATATAACTTACAATTTTTAATGTTATACTTTATGGGAAATGATTGAGACCCCCTCCAATCATCACCCCACCACCTCCACATACACATGGGGGCTGGTGTTTGGAGGAGAAGAAGAAGAGAAAAAAAAAAAAAAAAAAAAATTGGCCAATCAAAGAGAGAGGGGGTCGTAGGGGTGCCCCTGTGGGGGTCCAAGTCATTTTCCATACTTTATATAGAATTAGAATAATGACTTGGACCCCCTTTTTTTCCATTCCCTTGACCCCTCTTCACCTGATTGGCCATTTTTTTTTTTCTTCTCCTCCAATCACCACCCGCCGTGTGTGTGGGGGGTAGTAGTGGTGGTGATTGGAGGGGGTCTCAATCATCACCCATAGAATTATCTATCTTGTTAACTACTGAAATTTCTTATAATTAAAAATGTCATTATCACATTGCTTAAAATGAATTGTATATTGTAAAATCAATAACTTATATATAATTTACAATTATTAATATTACACCGACAGATTTTTGTACACAATTTTTATATAAAATTAACTTTTAAACCACAATCAGCAACTTATAACTTAAAGTTTCAAAAAATTTATACACATTTTTCATTATGAAAAAACAAATTTAAAAAATTGAACAGTACAAGAGTCTCGTGTAACAAGAAATAAATTACCAATATTCACATTTAATAAGAAATGACCCTTTAATCTTTTATACAGAAGTGTACAAGGATGACATTATCGACTAATCATATTATTTACACATTATTGAGTATAAAAAATAGATTTATATATCATCTTCTTATATATATATATATAAACTTAGGCACCGTTTGAGAGGATGGTTTAAAATGAACTATTTTAATCGTAACAAACAAAACATTACATTCAACTTATAATCATTACACCTTTCTCTCATAAAAAAATTTAAAAAATTCTTTCCAAACTAAACTTTTTAATCTAGATTTAAAAAAATAAAAAATCAACTAACTTTTCAAATCAAAACTTACTGAAATAACTAAAAATTAAAATAATTTACTAAAATAAAAAAAACAAAATATCACATCCAACCCATAATCATTACATTCTTCTCTCACAAAAAAAGCCAAAAAAGCCAAAAAGCCAAAAAGCCCTTCCCAAACCAAACTTAACTTTTTAGCCCAGGCTAAAATAGCCAAAAAAGCCAAAAAGCCAAAAAGCCAACCCACTTCCCAAACGGAGGCTAAAAAAATTAAAAAGCCAACAACACATACCAACAAGTCAAAGATTCTATTTTCTCTCTATTTTTTGCACATCTTTTCGTAAAAAGTCAAAAAGTTAACAAACATAGCCTCCGTTTGGGAAGTGGGTTGGCTTTTTGGCTTTTTGACTTTTTGGCTATTTTAGCCTGGGCTATTTTAGCCTGGTTTGGGAAGGACTTTTTGACTTTTTGACTTTTTTGACTTTTTTTGTGAGAGAGGATTGTAATGATTATGGGTTGGATTTGATGTTTTGTTTTTTGTGGCTAAAATAACCTATTTTATTTTTTGTGGCTATTTTAGCCCCAAACCAAGTTCCCAAACAATGTCATACTAATTTTTTTTACATCACATTTTAGCTAAAAAATTTAAAAATTACTAAAAAAATATGTTCCCAACTAGACCTAATGTGCAATCTATGCAAAATTATAGAGGTTGTTGTAGGGACATAAAATAAAAGATTTAAACATAATAATAACCCAACATCCAACCGTCTTGACCGAATATTCAAAATACTATGTACATGTCAGCTAACTTGGTTGGTTCATCATTGGGGACCCCCAAATTTGTACAAAAAAAAATGAATAAAAAAAAGAGAAAACATCAAAAAAAAAAAAAAAAAAAAAAAAAAAAACAAAAAAACAAAAAAGAAAGAAAGAAACTATATTGCAAACAATAAAGTTCAAGTAACCTATAATGTGCCTAGTGCGAGTGAGAATTATACAAAATAATACTTTTGCACCACTTGCATTCTACTAATTTATTATTATCATTTTTGTACGAGTAAGAAATAATTTTCTCGTATAATCTTATTTATCAAGAGGTTTTGTTATTTCTGATCTTCCCACAGACGGCGCCAATTGTACGAGTAAGAAATAATCTTCTCGTATAATTCTGTTGATCAAGTCTGTGCTCTTCCAAACGTCGTCGTTTTATTCCCTGAAAACACAAACGTGAGCTACCCGGCTGGTGTATGCCAAATACCTCTCCAATGCCTAAGTCAGCAAAATAGACAAATAGACAAAAGTTCTGTGTATTCGAGAATCAAAATTGTGTTACCTCTCCATAGATGATGTTATGAGCTTTTATAGGTTCTGCGTAGCACAATCCTAGTAGAACTCTTATTCCTCCATGTAGAGTGCTCCTAGGAATCACACTCCTAAAAGATAATGTTTATCCTTCAACACCCCCTCATTGCTTAAACCAAGTGAGATGGTTCTACCTCGGTAGTATGACAAAAACAAACGAGCTAACATGGCCATGCTAACCTGGCAGAAATGACTGAGCTCTGGCTAGCGCGGTTCTTTTCTTCATTGCCTATACCCCGGTTTCACCTGTTGAGACCGAGCTAACCATTGCTAGCTTTAGGGGTGAGCATGGACCGGATTGGTCCGGATTGGGAGAAAACTAGGACCAATCCGTTATCTACGGTTCCTGAAAAATTAAAACCAATCCAATCCATTTAAATTGTAGAACCAATCCGAACCAATCCGTTGAAACACGGATTGGATCGGTTTAGGACCACGGATTTAAATAATTAAATAACAAAATGGGTCCCTTTCTTTAGGTGCAAAGCAAACAAAATGGGTCTTTTACCCCATTCTAAGAACAGAATCATTAATCATTAATCAGTAACTACCACCAATCTTAGTAAACAACTAAGATAGATCAATAAATTTCAAGTCCCTATTTTAATTAAAAGCATTCTTATATTTTATTAGTAAGAGATGCACATCCAGAGAAAACTGTGTTAGGATGTAATGTTATAAATGTTGTACACATTTGTGGGTATTATTGTAAATATTCAAATGAGGGTTTTGTCAAATCCTTCCCATATATGAATATACATTCTCAACCCTGTTTGGGTCCTCCAGTATTTTATGGTATTGGAGCCAGAGACATCTCTCTCTCATATACTTTGTCTCCCTCTTTCTCTCTTACTAATATGGCCATTGGCCATCAGCTCTTTCCACTTTCTTCTTTAACTGTTCATCTCCACAATATTATCAACCATGTATCTGTTAAAATTTGATTAAAAAATATTCTGTTATGGAGAGACCAATTTACATTGATCCTGATTTGCAATGACCTATTTGGCTATATAGATGGCACAATTGTTGCACCATCAAGAAAGACTGTTGATAAAGAAACTCATAAACAGGTTAATAATCCAAGCTATAAATCATGGGTTCAAATGGATCAAAAAAAAAACACAGAAAACTCAGTCTGAGATAAAACAGAACAAAACCAGATAACATGAACAATCACATTTCAGAGTGTGACATAATGAAAACATAAAACATAAACAATCGATCTAAATAAAAACATAATGAAAACATAAAAATAATAAAAATAAAAACAGAAAAAAAAAAACCTCCTACTTACATTTACCGAATCCACTGTAGATGACATGAAACAATCGATCTAATCTGCGATGGATGATCTGGGAACCCATTTCAGAGTGTTAGAGATTAAACCTATTTCAGAGTGTTAGAGAGAGAGAGAGAGAGGAGCTCACCGAAAGAGGAAGACAAATAAACAAAAATAGTCACCGATCTGAGAGAGAGAGAGAGAGAGATGAGAGAACACCGAGAGAGAGAGAGAGAGAGAGCTCACCGACAGAGAGAGACGAGCAGCAGCACACCGATCTGATCTGAGATGGATGAGAGTGTGAGAGAGAGAACTCAGTCTGAGATGGGAAAGAGAAGAGAGAGAGACACCATCGATATAGAGACCTCAGAAGAGTGAGAGGCGTGAACGAGTGAGGTGAAGCTGCTGGACCTGGATTAGGTTTACATTTTAGTATTTATAGCATATAAGAAATTATATGGTGTGGGAAGGTATATAGTATAAAAATATAGATTATTTTTAGATGGTCCAAATCGGTTCCAATCCGGAACCGTGGAGTTCAATCCGGAACCGATCCGTGGCCTACGGATTTTGAAATTCTCAATCCGAAACCGAACCACGGATTCAAAAAACCAATCCAAACCTATCGGATTGGACTGGACCGGATCGGATTACGAATTTTACAAATTCCTTGCTCAGCCCTAATATCCGGGTCTAATAATTATATGGTGCTAAAAACAAAGAATGATTAAAAATTAATAAGTATCTCATGAAATAATTTATGGGAGAAGTGAGATTATTTATTATCTCACACAATATTTATATAAATTGTTTATTTGTAAAATGCTATACTTTTCTAAACCAATACCAAATATTGTTGCCCATTTCAATATTTTCCTATTGTTTTGAAAAACAGAGCCTAGTGGTGCATTCTTTTGAAAAATAAACCTTATCCTCTCAAACACCACATATCTCCTCAACACTCCCCAAAACGACCTTTCCCTCATATCAAGAGCAAGGTCCAGAGGAAGGTTCAAATCAGCTCGGTTCAGAATGGTATAACCGAGATAATTACATCATACCAACCGTGGTAACCACAAACACAAATGGACCGAGCTTAACTGCAAGGTTCTCTCACTCGGTCCTTTTTACTGCGGCCTATTTACCCAGCTCGGCCCAATTTTACTTATTAATTACCCTCTCAATTGTGTTTTTATGTATTCTATATATTTGATACTTCCTAGACCAGCAAGGGCTTGTAGTTTGGTGGCATCACCTAAAAAACTCTCATGTGAGATGTTATCGTATCTATAAGTTTCGTGATTTTCTATATTTATCACTTACAACTTGTTGTAGGTTCTCCATTGATGCTGCTTAGCAACTTCCTCATTTCATATCCTTAAAAATAGGGGTGTGCGCGGTGCGGTTTGAACGGTTTGAGGGTAAATTTACAAACCGAATGGTGGGTTGGTGAATTAGCGGATTGACAAATTGCGGTTTGGGCGGTTTTTGGCGGATTGGCGGATTGAAGAGTATTCTAACTAATTATCATATATTTGCATAATATATAACACTAATTTGTATAATATTTTTTAGATATATAACACAAAGTAATTTTACATAATATGTTTCATATATATAACCACTAATTTGTAATAAATTTCATATCTTAAATCTCTCTCACACTCATTTTTACATTGATATTTCATTAGAGGTTAAAAAATATATATGCTGAAAACATATAATTGAGTAAGGACAAAATAAAATATATATTTTTTCCTTTCTTGGATAATATTAGTAGAGTACTATGTTATTATTTACAGTGAGACAGAGTAACATATTACTGTCAAATAGAGTAATTGTCAAATAGAGTAGCATATTATTGTGAGACTGAATAACATTTTACTGTCAAACAAAATAACATGTTACTGTTATTGTTTATATCAATTTCAACGGTAATAATTTTTTTTTAAAAAGAATTTTATAATCAATATGGATCTTATTTGATAGATCTTAATGAGAGAGTTCTAAACGTATTAATTGTTTAAAAAACTAAAATCTACATCAAAAGTTATATTATTTTAAAATTTAATATTTTGATAACAGTAATATTTGTTGAATTTTTCAAGGAAAACATTTTGTGCTTATCTTTAATGTATTAAAATTTTATTATGAGAAAGTTTTGATCAAATCTCCCTTTAAATTTGAAAGTTTTTAAAATTGTCCTTTGTAAATAATTATTAATAAATTTAAAAATGATTATAGAAGGGTATTTTTGAAATTAGTGTTTTAAAAGTTGAATTCCAATGTAATAATTATTTATCTTCTTAAAAAGTTAAAAATTTTCAAAAAATACTATCAAAATGAGACAGAAGGAGGAGTATTTTTGGTGTATCGTGCACAATTGAACATTTTTGTCGAGCAATATCACATGCATTAAATTTTTTATTAAAATTGATGCGTCTAAATGTTAATTGAATTCGTTTAGGAAAAAATTTTTTAGTTTGATTTTTTTTTGGCTAATTTAACTTGTTTAAATTAGCTTTGTTTGGAAAGTTTTTTTTTTATTTTTTTTGTTTTCTTGTGAGACAAAAAGTAAAATAATTATAATTTAGATATGACATTTTGTTTTATTAATTTGTTTTTGTACGTTTTTAATCCCAACTTCTAACTTACTTGCCAAAAAGCAAGTGAATGTTTAAGTATTATTTAACTTGTTTGGTTTTAGTTTCTAAAAAATACTTTTTAGAAAATTTTACTTTTTTATTTTCTGTATTTTTTTGTTTTCATTGATTTTTTTAATATTTTAAGTCATTTTTTAATTTTTAGACACACATAACATAACTATACTTAAAAAGTATAATATTTGTGAAAAAAAATCTTTAAAAAATTCGCTAAATACTAAAAATACAAAAAATCATTATATTTTTCGTAATTTTGTGCATTGATTAATTTTTTAAAATATTTGTTTACAAACAAATATTTTAATATTTAGATATATCTAAGTACGGTACATCTAAAAAAGTAAAAAATTACTTAAAATTTTAAAAAATATTCACTAAAAAAAAAAAAAAACAAAAAAAAAAAACTCAATTTTTAAAAAATTATAACCAAATCATTTTTAATCATTTTTAAAAAATGACGCATCAAAATATCAAGGGACCTTTTGACAACATTTATAATTTTTTTTATTATTTTAATACAAACATTAATCATATTTATGTGCATTTAATATCAAGGGGCCTTTTGACAACATTAAATTTTTTTTTATTATTTTAATAAAAACATTAATCATATTTATGTGTATTTTTTAAAAACAAAAAATATTCTTCTACATTCATATATGACTTAAAAATAAGTGAGAGAGGGTGTTGGTTTTTTTGCATGAATGATGTCCAAAACTAGCGTCTAATATGAGATGGTAGAGGTAATAGTCAATGATCAGAGATGGCTACCTGCCGCCAAAGATGGTTCCCAATTGTGGAATGTGGTGGTTGCCAAAGGAGGTAGCTAACAATAGTGGCCCAAGCCACTAACAATGGTGGTTGGTGGTGATGATGACTGGTGGATGATGATCGGAGAGAGCAAGAGAAATAAGAAATAAAAAATTTATTATCGAACAAATAAAATCAACTTCTTTTTTTTGGGTACAAGAATTTAATAAATTTTATGAATTATTTACAAATTTTCAAAAATGAAAATAGATATCAAATAAATTTTTGTTTATAGTTTTCAAAATTTTTGTATATTTAAAATTTTGGTCAATTTATATAATCACAATTAGGGGTTATAAATGAGCCGAATGAGCTGAACAATTAACTATTCAAACTTGATTTGATAACTTTAACGAGTTTCAAAATTTATCAAATTTGGTTCATTAAACTTTTGAACCGATCTCAAACAAGTTTTTGCCGAACTGAACTCGAATGTTTTGATACCTTATATAATTTTAAATTTATTGAATTGAGCTGAACAAGCAATTGATTTTCAAGTTTAGTTTGAAAACCTTAATGAACTTTAAAATGTGTTCAAATTTAACTTATTTATTAAATGAACTCGAACTCGAACTCGAACTCGAACCATTTTTTAACAAACTAAACACTAGTCAAACTCAAATTATTTGATTTGTTTATCATCTCAAGTCCAATTCCGAGTAGTATAATTTAAAGTAGCGGACAGAGGGGCTCTATCGTTGAAGCATTACGCACGAGAAAGGATATCGTTCTTGGCTCCTTCCCGGAAATCTGATCCACTTTTTCACCTGCATCTCCGCTCGGAGAATTGACAACAAAAAGTAGGGACATTGAGTGAGGGAAGCTTAACAGAAAGAAGTCAGTCCCAAGGGCAAAGGAACGGATAGATTACGTTGACCATCCCTAAAGTTTTTAGAAAAAATATAATAAATTTTATAAGTTTGATATTACTCATTTAGTAAAATTAAGTAGTTTCTGAAATTACTACATCTTATCATATAATACTCAAAGAATTAAAATATAAAAGTATATAAATGTAATATTCGATCGGTTCGATTTGCATCCATATAAAAATATTTAGACCATTATTATTCAAGTCTAAAAATTAAACCCACTTTCTAGACCCTAATAATGTGTCAATGATATCAATCAATATAAAGTAGACCTAAAAAGTAGACTTATATATCATTTTCTAAAATTTTAAAATCGGAACAGACTATATATTATGAAAAACAGTCTGAAAATTGAAATTTTGGTTGGGATTGATCTGTCGGTCCAGTTTTATCAATTTTTTTTGCACTCCTGTGTTATCATCTAAGTGAGTAGTCTCGAGAAGAGTCAAACTCTATACCTAAGGTGATAAACCCATGGGGCCCGTTTATTTGTCAAATTAGATTTGAGGAGATTATTAGTATAATAGGATTGAGTTAAGGGATTTCTATTATAGTGATATTAGTTTAAAGATGTAAGGTAAATTATGTTTATTTATGTATTAATGTAGTGATATTAATTTGTTAGAATTAAATCTATGAATTTACACAAAAGCCTTCTCATATAGAATGTGACTTTATTATTTTTATAAAATAAGGATCAAAATAATCTTTCTACCTCTAATCCAATGAAATTTAATTTCAATATTATCTCTTTATGAAGTTGTTAATTCCCTCGTTAAAACATATTTATAAATTCATAATTATTTTTTAAAAACAAATATGTTTCTTAAAAAATTCACAAGATTAATAATTTAATCCCACGAACAACCTCAATGGTTTGTATTGCAGGAAGAAAAAAAATAATAATAATAATAAATGGAGAACTACAAATCAGTGTGGTCTTTCAAAAAAAAATTATTGATTCATGAAAAACTTTATAGCTTTAATTATTAAAACTTGTAACGTTTATTATTAGGGCAAATTACAAATACCTCTCTTGAGATTTAGCTAAATTACAAATATCTCTAAGGTTTCGAAAATTACATCCCGCCCCCTGAAGTTTGTATTTTCATAACAATTTGCCCCCTGAGGTTTATATTTCATAACAAATTACCCCCTAATTTCTTATGCAAATATAGCATTCAGGAGGGAATTCGTAATTTCTCAAACCTCAGGGGTATCTGTAATTTAGCCAAACCTCGAGGGGTGTATATGTAATTTTATATACAAAAAATCAAATGTATATTATTTATCTCCGCATGTTTTAATGGAAAATTCTGTTCTTGAGGTCGCTCTCACTGGTCTTTGGATTTGGGAGGGACGCCAGTTACCGCGTGTGTTTAGGAGCTTTCGAGGAGAGAGAGAAGCTTCTTCGGACTTTCAAAAAACTGCTGATTCTAGAGAGAGAAAGGTAAAGGTAAGGGTTTTAAGAGAGTTTTGACATTTGGGTTGTCTTCTATGTGCATTATTTAGATGATGATTAGATTGTTTGCATTTCGAATGTCGGTGACTGTGTTTGAACTTTTTGAGTGTTACACAGAATTGAGTTCTTTTCAATATTTTTGCTAAATTTTGGAATTTTTCGGTGCTTGTTGATTTAGATTCTTGCAGAAACTCCGTTCAGTGATCTGGGTTGATGTGTTTTTGCTCCCGACGCGATTGGTGATCTGGGTTCTGATCTCAAGGTTATTATTGATCTGGGTTTTGCTCTGGAAAGGGTTTTGTGATTGCAGGTGGAGTGTTCGATGAATTGTGTGTTTGTTTGGTGAAGTTTGGTGATGTATGGGCTACTTGGTTTTGCGTCAAGACTGTAATTAATTATTGAGCACTGCTCTAGGGAATGAGCCAAGTTAATCACTTGGTTAAAAGCTTGAAATTTTTCTTTGTTGCTCTATGGCAGTTGATTAATGAGTCTGGATGGCGATTTATTTTTACATTTTGAGTGGGGTGTTCGACAAAACAAGGTGTTTGGGTAGTGACTTGTGGTAGTTGGGAAATTAGCTGGGTGATTGTTTAGACATTTCGATTTGCTTAAAAATTGAAATGGGTTAGTGTGATGAATGCTTGGAGATTTTTGTGATATTATATTGCAATTGATTTTTATTTGGTACACATTCTTACATATTAGATGGCGAGTACTTCACCATCTCCAAATTCTCCACCCACTGCTGCCTCACCACCGGCGTCCACCCCTCCGCCACCTCAGCCTTCCTCTCCTCCACCAGCCCCTCCTACAACAACTCCATCTTCTCAACCCAATGCAAATCCACCAAGCCCTGCAACTCCTAATCAATCCCCACCACCTCAATCTCCTCCTACCACTAAAGTGACGTCTCCTCCTCCAGCATCATTATCGCCTCCGCCACCACAACCCTCTGTGGCTTCACCACCACCACAACCCTCTGTGGCTTCACCACAACCACTACCTACTAATGGGAGTTCATCTCCATTGGTGACACCTCCACCTCCTCAGCCCATTTCACCTTCTCCACCTCCTCCAGCCAATGTTTCACCTCCACCCTCAAATTCTTCGCCACCACCATCATTAAATCCACCACCCAGTTCACCTCCTCCTCCATCATCTAATCCACCAGTTAGTTCGCCCCCACCTCCATCAGTTAACCCACCAACTAGTTCACCTCCACCACCATCATCTAATCCGCCAGTAAGTTCACCTCCGCCAACACCACCACCTAATCCACCAAGAAGTTCCCCTCCACCGCCATCACCCCCACAGAATTCACCGCCTCCACCCCAATCAAAATCACCAGTGGGTTCACCTCCACCTTTGTCATCACAGCCTCCTCAAAATTCTCCACCCCCACCATCAGTAAAGCCACCAGAAAGTTCACCCCCACCACCTGCATCTATACCACCCCAAAATTCACCCCCACCACCGGCATCTAAAACACCCCAAAATTCACCTCCACCACCAGCATCAAACCCACCCCAAAATTCACCCCCACCACCAGCATCTAAACCACCCCAAAATTCACCTCCACCACCGGCATCAAACCCACCCCAAAATTCACCACCACCACCGGCATCAAACCCACCCCAAAGTTCACTTCCTCCACCAGCATCAGTGCCACCCAGTACATCACCCCCACCTCCTCCTCCATCTGGTTCCCCACCTTCAAATTCTACTCCAAAATCACCACCACCACCAATAATCCGTCTATCACCTCCTCCTGCCCGAGTTCTGTCTCCACCCTCCCCTTCTCCCCCTTCTCAAGTTTCAGTTCCACCTGCAGGTAATCCAAATACTACCAATTCTAGTGACAATGCAAACTCCACAGGTAATGGGGGCCTTGGTACAGGAGGTACAGTGGCTATTGGTTTGGTACTAGGTTTCCTACTACTTAGTGTCATTGGAACTGCTGCCTGGTGCATAAGGAGGCGAAAGAAAAAAATTTCTAGACTCAATGCCAGGCATGTTATGCCAACCTCAATGGGATCTTCCCCAAAATCAGGTAATTCTCCAAACAATATTGTATACTCCCTCTGTCCCAATTTGTTTGTCCATTTTGGGAAATCCAACTTATTAGGGAGACAAGCAATCATTACATATCAATTCAGAATTTTGAAATATTTTTTATCATAATACCATTTGATTTTGAATTTTAAAATGTGTTTATGTTTGTGTATAATGGGTAATTTTGGAAATCTAAAAAATTTCAATACCCAAAATAGAAAGTGGACAAATATTTTGGGACGGACCAAAATGGAAAGGTGGACAAAAAAAATGGGATGGAGGGAGTATTTACATTGTGCCAGTGTTACTTCAGCGTGTTATGATTTTTCCCTTCATCTCTCTTCAGATTGTTCCTTCAGCATGTTTGTGTACGTATTCTGTTCTTACCTTTAGATTATTGAGAATTATTGACAAAGCAAGAATTTAGAAACCATGGCTGGCTGTAACCATGAATTTAGAGACCATGATTAGTATCAACTGAAAAAGACACTATAGTAGGCCTAAATTTATTGCAATCCCTGCAAGCTATCCATATTACACAATGCATATTGAATGTATATTTACGCAAGTCCTTGTAACTGAAACTTTTGAAGGTTTATAATTTGTGTCCAGATTCTACTTTACTAAAGGCACAGGCATCAACACCCCAATTTAGAAGTGCTTCTGGCAGTGATTTTGTACCTTCACAATCAGAGCCAGGTGGATTAGGAAATTCAAGATCATGGTTTACTTATGAAGAACTAGTTGAGGCCACAAATGGGTTTTCGGAGCAGAATCTATTGGGCTCAGGTGGATTTGGTTTTGTGTACAAAGGATACCTAGCTGATGGAAGAGAGGTAGCAGTAAAGCAGCTAACGATTGGTGGAGGACAAGGGGAGCGAGAATTTAAAGCTGAAGTTGACATTATTAGTCGCATACATCATCGTTATTTGGTTTCACTAGTGGGTTACTGCATCTCTGAGAACAGAAGGCTGCTTGTCTACGACTATCTCCCTAACAATACCCTTTACTTCCATCTTCACGGTAAATTTCTTTTCTTAAGATGTGAAGGCTTGGTTTGTCATACTGCCTGATTAACATTCGTTGTTGTTTCTTGCATTTTATAGGAGCAGCTAGACCGGTCTTGGATTGGGTGACACGTGTGAAGATCGCTGCTGGTGCAGCTCGTGGAATTGCTTATCTCCATGAAGACTGTAATTATTTATTTTCTTAATTTGATTAATTCACCATTTATGTAACTTCCAGAATTTATCAAAAAATATATATATATATATATTTATGTAACTTCCAGAAAAAAGTTTTTTTTCTTAAATTTAAATTAAAAAAAAATTGAAGTACGAAATAAAGTTGTACCAAATATCAGAATCACTACCATATACAGATTGACATCTTGTTTTGACCATGCATTACCATTCAATCATGAGTCAAATTCTGCATGCATACTGACGTTTTCTAATATGCATGACAGGTCATCCTCGGATTATTCACAGGGATATTAAGTCGTCAAATATTCTTTTAGATAACAACTTTGAAGCCCGGGTATATGTCTTTTTAACAAATTTTGTTTTTGTCGTTCTCATGTTATGTAGGAAAGAGTTTTACCATTCCTGTTTCATCTTACAGGTTTCTGATTTTGGACTCGCTAAATTAGCTCTTGATGCAGATACACATGTAACCACACGTGTTATGGGTACCTTTGGGTAGGAGACCCTATCCTTGATTGGTCTCTGGATAAATGATTATAAGGACATTTTTCTAAATATTTCAATGGGTTTGATTTCAGCTATATGGCTCCTGAATATGCATCAAGTGGCAAATTGACGGACAAATCTGATGTATTCTCATTTGGGGTTGTTCTTTTGGAGCTAATTACTGGACGCAAGCCTGTGGATTCATCTCAACCTTTGGGAGAGGAGAGTCTGGTTGAATGGGTAAGTTAATGAATTATTAATCAGGATTCAGGGCATAAGTTTTCTCTTACAACCACCTGCAGCCTTAACCAACTTCTAAATTGCTACTTTTATATCTAGGCATGCATGAACTAGTGAGTGATGCATTTAGCAGATCTGGTTGGCCAAGGGTGTCACTTTAGGATAGGGTCATCAGGCATGAGCTTGATACCAGTACAATCAATGCGTGGATTCTTCTCCTTATTTCATGATACTTAGTTATTATTGGCATCACAGGATCGAACAAACTTTGCACACCTGTAGAACACTAGATGTAGTCGTTGCAACAAAAAGTGAAATTATTTCTCTAAGCAAAACAAGTCTCCTATTGCTCTAAAACCACATTTCTGATGTAGAAACTTGTAAGTGCTTTCAAGTTTACTTTGATTGAATCATGAAGTCAAACTGGCTTGAAAAGTTCTGAGTTCTTATCAAACTTGGTTTCTTTTCCATGACAGGATAGATTAAAATCAAAGGGTGAAAAAGAAATTCACTTATCATTGAAAGGACTTCTTAATAATGAAGTTTTGGATTATTCAATTGGCAACTATTGTACTGGTTAGTTATTCAAATCTACGAAGATTGCAGTATTAGTCCCTATAGATGAATAGAGGATAACTAAAACAACCTAAAAAACTTTGAATGTATGCTGTGAAATTTTTCACATGCACACGTCCAAGTGCACATTTAAACACAATAGATCGATAAGAGTTAACCATAGGGATCGGTACATATTAACCCCACATAAATTAGGCAAGGGAAAATTACACTGACCTCCCTGACAATTGCCCAAATTTTAGTTGTCCTCATTAGTAGAAATGACATCAGCCTCACTTAAAAGCTTAATCTCATTACACTTACACCCATGCCATTATTATACCATCAGGCAGAAGGATGGAATTTGATGATGTCATCAAATTTTGAATAAAAGTATAAATTTTACCCTTGGGTATTTTTTTAACAATATTCAACAATAAAAAAAGAAGAAAAAATTAGGGTAAATTATAAGACCACCCTTGAGATTTGGAAAAAAAATACAATAAGTCTCATAAGTTTGTCATAATTACATCAACCTCCCTTTTAATAAGACTAAAGTAAATAGAATTAATGCAGATGGTATGTAGATACAGAGATAAACAATGGTAAATTATAGAGGGCGAATTACACTAAAGGTCTTTATAGTTTAGGACTTGTATCACTTTAGTCTCTGACTTTTCAATTGTAACACATTTGACCCTGAATTTTGAATCTTGTTTCAAATAAAGCCTCCGTTTGGGAAGTGGGTTGGCTTTTTGACTTTTTGGCTTTTTTGGCTATTTTAGTCTGGGCTTAAAAGTTTGGTTTGGGAAGGGCTTTTTGGCTTTTTGGCTTTTTTGAGTTTTTTTGTGAGAGAAGAATGTAATAATTATGGGTTGGATGTGATGTTTTGTTTGTTATGGCTAAAATAGCCTATTTTGTTTTTTGTGACTAAAATAGCCAAAAAAGCCCAAATCATGGCTTCCCAAACGAACCCAAAGACAATTGAGTATACCATTACTCAATTTCAAGGCAAAGTCGTCAATTTGATAAAATATAAATTAATTTGACAAAAATAAATGTCAAAAAATATTTTTAAATTTTTAAAAATTATTTCTACCCACCAATGATAAAATTATGTAACATTGATAAATCTTTTACACATCTATTTATTTATTTTTTTACCAAATTAATTTGTATTATATGTTCGGATGATGATCGTGTAATAGTGGTTGTTTTTATTTTCATTAAATTAATTTCTATTTTTTCAAAAGTTAAATATTGCGATAACTTTGATATCATTATTAAACTGTAGAAAATTTAATGTATAAAGAGAAATAGTGAAAGCTGGAGGAAACTACTTTATTTTCAATACAATACCTTGAATTGTACAATATGCCCTATTATATAAACTGTAACCAGCAGCTAACTTAAGGAAATACAATTCTACAATAAAGGAATATACAAGAATCATGGTAATCACTATTGACCACCAGCACCATCCTTCTGTACATACCTAAAATAGGATACCTAAAATAGGACTGTCAATAATCATTCCTTAATTATAGGGATTACATATGACTCCTAAACTGTAGGGATTTCCACACTCCCCCTCAAGTTGGAAGTGGAGGTGGTAGTGGTGTAGTGGGTTAGGTTTAGTGGAGTAGGTTTAAGTGGGTGAAGGTTTAGTGGAGTAGGTGAGGTGGTAGTGGTGTAGTGGGTTAGGTTTAGTGGAGTAGGTTTAAGTGGGTGAAGTAGGTGGATTTTAACAGCCCCCCGCAAACTCAAGGGGGATAGGAACTAACCAACTTGAGTTTGGAGAGAGTAACAAAACAAGAAAATACATAAAAATAAAAGAGGATAGGTGACACTGTATGGTCGTGTCAGACCATTGGTGAAGACACTTGATGGTGGTGTCATAACGTAAACCAATCCATTAAATAAAAAAAATCAAAACTAAAAACATTTCATATATTAAATATATCGATTACACATTAAAAGCCTAACAACCACCCATTACATGATCATCATTCAAATACATAATAATTAATTTGGTAAAAAAAAAAATGTGTAAAAGATTTATCAATTTTACATAATTTTATCTTTGGTGAGTAGAAATAATTTTTAAAAATTCAAAAATATTTTTTTGACATTTATTTTTGTTAAATTAGTTTATTTTTTATCAAATTGATGACTTTGCTCTTGAAATTGAGCAATGGTATCTTCAATTATCTTTATTTGGAACAAGATTCAAAATTTAGAGTTAGATGTGTCACAATTGAAAAGTGGGGGATCAAAGTAACACAAGTTCCAAACTATAGGGACTGTTAGTGTAATTTGCCCAATTATATATTTAGTGTAGAAAAGATGGCAACATCATTTTTTCATCTAACTAATGAATAAATGATGAAAAGCGGGCAAAGTGTTATGTGAATGAAAACCGGGTATAATTATGTTAAACTTGTGGAACTCTTGTATTATTTTCAAACCACGAGGAAAGAATTTACTCAAAAATTTAATTGAGAGAAAATAAAAAGATTAAAAAAAGTCTCCTCACGCAAACAAACCTATGTTCCTCTCTCTCTCTCTCTCTCTCTCTCTCGCCAATGCTGTCTATTGCTGCCATTGCTGGTGCTGTGAGTCTGCCTTCCAGCCAGCTTCACGACTTCTTCAGCCTCACCTTCCAAATCTGCGATCCCCCCACCTCAACGCAGCCTCCAGCTCCTTTGTTGTGCAATGGGTCAATGACGAAGATGGTGGAAAACCCATGGTTGCCACTACTCATAGCACCACCCAATGATCACTGCCAAGCACCAACCATCACCTCTACTCCCAAAATCAAGATCCACGACAATCCCATCGTCAATGCTCAGTTGCCGAGGCCACCACCAAATGCTTGTTTTATTTTCAAGTTTTTTTTTGTCTTTTTACTCGACATATGAGGGTTTTTTGTCTTTTCATGTCCTCTGTTATTGGAGTTAATTTTTTAGGCCCATCAGCAGAGGCCAGTGTCATTGCCCCATATTAATAGGGTTAACTATAATTCCGGCAATTGTTGTCTAAAAGTAGTTGATTCTTTATCCTGATTATATCAAAATTCTGCCTCCTCCCACAAGATACACAAGGACCTGCTAATTGATGGAAATACTATATATTATTGTGTAAATTACGCTAACTTCTTGTTATTGAGAAAAACATAATAAGCTTCATAAGTTTGACATAATTACACCAATTTCCCTTTTAGTAATGATAAAACAAGTGTGACTAATGCAGGCAATGTATGGTTAAATGCATAATCGAAGTTAAAATATACATTTCAATGTAAAAGAGATGATAGTATCGCTTTTCATCCATATTATTGATAGAATGATTGATGTTAAAGGGGCAGAGTGGTATCGGAGTTTAAACTTTAGGGGAACCAGTGCAATTGTGTCAAAACTTGTGGGGCTTGCTGTTTTTTTCCTAAACCTTGAGGGAGGTTAGTGTAATTTTTGTCCTATATTATTTGTTACCGATAGTATAGCAGGTTGTTGTGGGATGTAGCAGCTGTTATGTAATGGTAGTAAGTAACAATCACTGCACATGTGAAGCAACTTCCTACTGTCATGTTGGCTTGGTCCATAACGGGATTGAGATAAAGAGAAAGCCAGATAAATAGAGTCCAGCTCTGATCCTGCTCTACCAAGCTCAGAGCTTGTACCTTGGAAACCCTATTAAAAAAAGAGAACCAATGTATGGTCACTAGCTAGCTCCATACCAAGTTGGAAAAAACTAATCACCTTACTTAGAGGCATGTTTTTTTGACATTTTTAGAATCTAAAAAAACTGATGCATTTGGGAGGTTGCTAAAAAAGTTGCTTTTTTGTGAATGGAAAAGTTGCCACTTTTTTAATTTTTTTAGTTGATGACAAACATGCTTTTGACTTTAAGCTTATTTAGCTCTCCACAAACGGTAGTGTACCTTCCCTAAATCAGCCTTTCTTTCCTTCCCTCAACTCCTTCCATCCCATGTAGGCCTATTTATTGTTTTTACAGCTGATTTTGAAACCATGTCTAGAATTGTCCCTTGAATGGAGGACACTTGAACATAAGAGGGAAGAGTATTTTTACTAGGTCAAATGAAGTCACCTTATCAGCCATATTATTAGAAGTCTGGATCCCTCTAGAGTGTTAGTGTTTTCATTGCTTTCTTTGTTTGCCTGAATACGAGAAACCACCAAAAAACCAATCCAAAAAGGATTTCATATCAAAGTTCTGAACAATGGTGAACCCAACAAATAATGTGCCAACTAGTTTTCTGAAATCAAGCGAGTTATGTCCCTGTCTGAATATGATATTCAATATGAAGGGCATTATACATATGTTCTCTTTTCCATAACTCAATTACTAAATATAGCTGTTCGGCTACGAGTCTTAACTTAACGAAGCAAGAGATCTCTCCTTTTGGTCCTGAATCCTAAATTTAAAAGAAAACATACAAATATTTTAATTTCCATTTTAATTTGATCCACTAAACCCTATAAAGAACTTGGAATTGATTGACTGACTGAGGTCTGAACCATTCTCCCATTGAGGACCTGGCTAATTAAATTTGAAGTGTATATAGCAAATCCCTATAGATAAGGACGTTGTCCAACCTAGGAGCATGTGAAAGTCCTCTTGGCTCTTGGCTCTGAGGTTCATGAATAATGTTCAACTCATTATGATTTCTTGGCTTCGTTTGGGAAGTTGCTATTTTAGTAGGCTATTTTAGTTTTTGGGTATTTTAGTAAGCTAAAATTTTTGTGTTTGGGAAGATGATTGGATTTTTTTATGGTTGGATGTGATGTTTGTGAAAGAAAAAGTGAAATGATTATGGGTTTGATGTAATATTTTGTCTTATTAGCTATTTTAGCCTATTTTGTCTTTTTGTGAATTTTAGCCTAAATTAGGCTATTTTTTTTCTTCCCAAACACCCCCCTTGTCAAATATGCTCACTACCTGACAAATGTTCTCTGATTGGCTCTCCGCATTTTAATTGGCAACCTCATTCCCACAATAAATTTGATCAGAGGCCTCAAAATCTGAATTATCTTATCTTTTTTGCCCCTCCAGCCTTTTTCATATTGCTGCAAGTAGCATTTGTGCGCATTTCCTCTTTATTATTTATCAGTTAATGGTAGACTACTAGACATTGTAAGGGCAATACATGCACTTAGTTAAAAATTAATTTTTATGTTTCAGGCTCGACCTTTGCTTAATCATGCTATTGACACCGAGGAATTTGAAGGCTTGGCGGATCCAAGCCTTGAAAAGAATTATGTTGATAGTGAAATGTTTCGTATGATTGAGGCTGCTGCAGCTTGTGTGCGACACTCAGCTACGAAGAGACCACGAATGGGACAGGTAGGTTATTTGGATTGGCAAATGGCCATAAAATTTTCCTTAATTACTTCTTAGGATATGGTGGTGGTTGGAGTTCCTGGACTCTGTTTAGGTGGAAAATATTTTTCGCATTTTCTGGCATAACGGAAAAAATGTTTTCCATGGTTAATGGAAAACAAGTCCATTTGGGCGGAAAATGTTTCACTTTATAAAGGTGGAAAACGTTTTTAGACTAAGTTCTTACCAATGCCATCACAGTACTACCACCACCACCACCTCCACCACCGCCACCACACACCACTATCCCACCTCCACCTCCACCACCACCACCCCACCACCAATAATATACAAGCATTAGTACATTAGTTTTAATGATGTAACCAAACATAACAAAACATTTTTTCTTGGAAAAAGTTCTTCACCAAAACAGACGGAAAGCGTTATTCTAACCTTGCTTGTGCTACTCAGGTTGTGAGGGCTCTCGACAGTATGGTTGCCGCAGATCTAAACAATGGAATGCGAGTAGGTGAAAGTGAAATATTTAACAGTGCAGAACAATCCGCAGAAATTAGATTGTTTCGGAGGATGGCATTTGGTAGTCAAGATTACAGTACAGATTTTTTTAGTCAAAGTAGCGGTAGTAATCCAGCAGATAGTAGACAAGTGCAGTTCAGATCAGGAACTTTGTGAAGACGGAGTTGAATTGCTGTTGATGTAAATGCAAAGGTGATACAGCTGAGAGGTATTTATTTGTCTCGGTCTCAAACTCGACTGTGTCAGATATAGACTGACATCAAACTCTTGATTAAATTTTGTAAGTAGCTTTATTTTGCAGCTTTCACAAATAAGATATGATTTTATTATATATATTACAGAAAATTGTTTTCCCCACTGTAATTAAACAAGGGGAGTTTTTGTTGTTCATCAATATATTTGTTATTTGTTGACAAAGCCTCTATTCAAGGTTGTTCTTCCTTTTCAAATTGCTAATATGCTTATACGTCTTTATTGTTAATAGTAACATGTCCAAGATAAGTCAAATAAACATCGACATTACAACCATTAGAGTTAAACTTTAAAGCTTTTAAAAAAAAAAAAAAAAAAAGGGAAGAAGAAGAAGAAAAAGGAATGGAACTGTTAGGGTAGTGATTTTCATATATGGCCAGCATTATATCTGCTTTGTTGTGCTGTGCTGTGCTGCTTCAATAATCTGACACAGTCAAGAATAATAAATCATTCTAAATTGTGGAATTGGTAATGCTCTTTAGGCTCTGTTTGGATATTGGATTTGTGAAGAGAATTGAACAGGGGAGGGATTTGTGAGGTAAAAAAAAAAAAAAAAGCTGCTGTCAAGGTTCTGTAATTTGATGAAGTTATGCAAAATACCTGCCAAGTTAAAAAAAAAAAAAATTGATGCATTAGCTGATACTAAAGCAGCAGGCAGAATAGAGGAACATCTATATAATAAAACAAGTTGGTTTTTGGAAAATGTCATATGTAGCATGATTGAGTGTAAAAAAAATAAGGCAAATGCTATTGTTTAATGTTAGAATTAAGGTATAAATGTTTTGAAAAGAAATGAAATTTTTTGGAAGTGTATAAAGTGCAATAAGTTCAGTGGAAAGTGTCTCAAAATCTTCAATTTCTTTGTTTTTGGTTTTTGGTTTTTGGTTTTTTGTTTTTGTTTCTGTTTTTTGTTCTTTTTTATTTTTTTTGGGTGCCTTTTTAGCACTTGTTAACAAAACCCAAAAAATAAATCTAATGGTTATAAAAAATATCCTATAAAGATTAAATAAATTCAACTGTTTATATTGTCTTCTAAATAGTGAAGTGCCCTAAGGCATGATATATTTCATAAATCCCTCACCTCATATGTCCCCATATGTAAAAATTATGAGGTGAACTTCATCTAAAATTCTATGAATCGCTAGATGAAATTTATCAGTTTTTCCACATCATGCGTGAATTCACACATAACATGTCATGTCAACCTATAAAACTTTACAGTATTAAAATATTATCCGGTAAAATTTATCTGATGACAAATATCATTTTTTTTTTTTTCCTTTTCATTTTTTGTTTAGAAGACAAGCTCTATAGCACCAAAGAACAAAAGCCTCAAGTCATCAAACAAAACCTTCCAAGGTTCCAGCTATCACCCAAATGTAGAAATCAAGTTATCAGACCATGCCAGCTTATGATTACTTGGAACCCAATATTCTCTCACATTACTAACCCTTTTCACAAGCCAAAAGTTGCATTCTTGAGTCATTGCAATATCTTGGAAGTCATTTCTTTTCAGAAGCTATTAATTGCTTCACCCTTCATATAATAAAGTCTCATGACTATAAGGAACTTATTCCTTACCAAGAAAATGACTTATTCCAATCATCACCCTCACACCCTCCTTTTTTCTTCCATCTTTCCATAGCCATGGAAGATCGAAACACGCTTGCCTCCGACTGCATTGTCATATCTTGTTGTTGCCAGTGTTTGATCCTGCAGATTGTCGTTTTCATCCTCCTCAAACTTCCTTACAAGCTTGTCCAAAAGACGAAACAATATGCTAAGAAGAAGCTCGGTCACAGGAAGAGAGAGAAGACAATGATAGACGATGACAGAGATGATGATAGAAAAGGATTTGGGATAGATGATGAGTGCCATGGTTATGAGTGTTGTATGGAGGAAGTTGAGAAGGTGTTGGAGGAGTTGTCTCAGAAGGGTGAGTTTGCATTTGGAAGCTTTTGGGGCAGGGATGAATCAGGGAGCTTGCCAAGAACAAGTGTTGTTGCCAAACAGGACTTTAATCGTCACAATGTTGTACAGTGTCATTTAATTGAAATGGTTAACTAAGCTTGAATTCTTAGAGATATGGGTAATTCTATTATTTTCATCGTTAAATATGTTTTCATGAGTAATCAAATTTTTCTTTATAACTAAGCTAAACACGTGCAAGTATTATATTTATCTAGCAGAGATTTGAACAAAAGATCTATTAACTGTTCAAATACCATGTTCAATTTTTAAGTACTAACTCAAGTATAAAAAGTAAGGAATTTAGAGTTAATGGGAACTTTATTATTTATAACTCTATTACTTGCACATTGCATTATGTATTACATAATGTCTTGTTATTCATCAAAGTTATAAAAGAACTAAATTACTCAAGTTCAACTCAAGTTAGTTTGTAAAAAATTTAATCGAGATGTAAATAAATTAAATTTAAATATATTTTAAAATTCGTTAATTTGTGGAGCTAAATTTAAATTCAACTTGATAATATATAGTTTAGGATGGTATAAAAACCAAGCTCTTAGACTTGTGATTGACTTAATTAAGGCTCCATTTGGTTTGTAGTTCTGTGGTTTAAAAAGTCATGAACAATTCTAAAAATAGAAAGTTAAAATATATCATACATATGAATCAATCATTTTTTTTCACAACTATCTATTCAACACACACACACACACCAAAGAAAAAAAAAAAACATTTCAAATATATTAATTTTTTTCACCTCATAAAAAAATTAAAATAAAAAAAAGTCAAGTTGTTAAAAAGTCACTAAAACTCACTTGAAAATAATTCGATTAAAGCTTATTTCAGATCAATTTAAAAGACGAATGATTTTGTTTCCATATATTTTTTTTTCTCAATTTACACACTCAATAGATGGAATATTTATTACAATTATACCATCAAGCAAAATGATTAAAAAACAGATGTGTCACTCAATAATTCATATCCGAATCATGAGTAATTCAAACCATGCATCAATACTAAATTTTCGAATCAAATGAGTAAAAATTTTAAAATATGTGAATTATGGGTTATTGGGTTATGATTCCTCATGGCAATGTTTTCAAGGAACATATTCATTATATTATGTCCTTCAAATTGGCTGTCTTTTCCATTTGATTGATAAATTGAGTTGCACAAAACAACAAATTCCCTCTTCATTGCTTAAGCAAAACAATGACCTGTCTTGTACATTTTTGTGGCTCCACCAATCCCAATCTTCTAATTATAACCATTCATTGTGTTCCATTCTTTCCACCACCAATGGAGGACAAAAGGTCAAAAACATCAAGATCAAAATTTTGAAACCTATCTTCCATATTAGTGGAAGAAAAAATTTATTTATACATAAAATTTATATAAAAAATGTTTAATAAATATAATGTGGTAATGTTATTTTTGTAAATAAATTTATTTTTATGAGCGTTTTATTTTAAAATGAAAGTATACATTAAAGGGGGATGCACCAATAAATCTCAAATTAATAACTTATGCACTGTTTAGTCCTAAAAGTTTTCTTATAGACTGAAAGGTCCCATTACAATGTTAATAACATCAGATACAATGTTAATAACATCAGAGTCATGTTACAAACATTGGATTTCAAATATCTAATGTTCATCAAATTTCAATAATGTTTGAAAATATAGGATGAAAAACATCTAATGTTCATCAGATTTCAATAAATTTTGAAATTATAGAATGAAACATCAGATCATTTACATCATTCACATCATGTTGATGTAAAAATGGGACTAAATGGAGCATAAGAAAACTTTTAGGACTAAATGGTTCAACGTTTCAAAAACTAGGACTTATGGGTAAATTTTCCTACATTAAATTACATCATTATGTATAACTTTTTTATATATTTATCGTTACTTTTAATCAAATCAATTATTTTAAAAAAATTTGTGACACCCTATTCAATTCAATAGCGTAATATTATATATGAACGGATTTTTTATTAAATTTTCTTATTATCAGACATAAAAATCTAAGTCTACATTAATAAATACATATGAGATCATTGCCTTGTCTTTGTGTGCATTAAGAAAACCAAGTATATACGTAATATTTTTTATTTCATTATACTGTAAATTACACAAAATAATTTTTTGAAATTTCGAAATACAATAATGTACAACTAACAATGCAATGAGATCGGAGAACAAAATGTTAAGGTAATACTACGATAGTTCATTGAAAATAGCTCACATGAGAAACAGTAATACTTATAGCTGACTATGCTATTATTTTTTATTTTCCAAACAAATAATAGTTTTACACAATTCATTCTTAAAATAATGCACTTTGACATGGACTCACATTGAGATAAATCACAAATGCATTTTCTGAAATTTAATTAAAATACGAATCGCCTCTTATAATACTGGAAATTACATTCCACCCCTTGAAATTTTTAATGTCATAACAAATCTCCCATTTTATTAATAAATCATCAAGTTAATTAACAATTTTTAATGATGTTATAAATATGTTTCAATTAATAATTTAAGTAATTTTATTATTATATATGAGAGGGTAATTTTTGGGAAAATTAGGCCGAGCTTCGAGTTGGGTTTTGAGGCCCAAAACGCAGAGGACTAGGTAAAAAGGCCGTACTGAATACTCCGGCCTAGAGGGCAAGGTTACTCCGGCCTTGGGGAGACAAAGTTACTTCGGCCCAAGGAGGTGAGTTTATTCCGGCTCAAGAAGAGATAGTTGCTTCGGCCCAAGGAAGAGTAAGGCTACTCCGGTCCAGAGACAACTCGGAGTTGGGCCGGTCTTAGAGTTAGTCCGGTCGCAGTATGTTCTGGGAAAACCGGTTTCGGAATTAGTCTGGTCGTGACACACTCTGGTTAAGTCGGTCAGAACTTGTTACTTGGAAGTTTGATCTAAGCATACCAAGGTTGAACAGGGGCAGCCGAAGTAATGAGTTAAAGGAGAAGACCGAGCTAAGGATAGTTCGGCCTTCTCTGTGGCTCAGCATAGCCAGTGTTATTTCGGTCGTGTGGTAGTTCGGCTATGGAGAAAACCATCCCACTTGGTTTAAGCAGTGGGGGAGGGTGTAAAAGGATAAGCATTATCCTTTGGAGTATGAATCCTAGGAGGACTCTGCATGGAGAAATACAAGTCCTACCAGGATTGTGCCACGGGAAACTTATAAAAGCTCACAAGCATCACCTTGGAGGAGGTAATTGAACACAATTCTTTCTGAGAACATAAAACTTTGTCTATTTGTCAAGCTTACTGACTTAGGCATCGGAGAGGTTTCCGGCACACACCCGCCGGCTAGCTCACGTTTGTGTTTTCAGGTGGTAAAGCGACGTCGTACGGAGGAGCGTGGACTTGGTCAACAGGATTATACGAGGAGAATTATTTCCTCCCCGTACAATATAGGAGAGCAATTATGAATTTTATTTTTTTAGTTAATTCTGTTAAACAAAAAATTCTAGCAAAATGGTATTTATAATTTTCTAAATCATAGAAAATAATCTATACTTTAAATAAATCTCAGGAGATGTATTTGTAATTTTATCAACTCATGCCTTAACACACCTCAAACTCGTGGCTTTATTGGGCTCAAGCCCCAACGGCCACCAACTCCATGTTCTGTTAGCCAACATGGACTCAAATGGCAATGACTCGACCGAATTTGATGGATTGGTTTTTCAATCAAAATTGACATTTTCCTTCATTGTTATTTTTTAAATTTGATTTTTCATTTTGTTTCTTCGGTTGTTTTTGTGAGGTTACGTATCTCCTCAATGTACATGATTGAAGGAAAAGGAGAGCTATCTACAAAAGAAAGCTTGACACCTCAACTCCTCAACGAGGGAAACATTTTTAAACTCATCTTATAGTTTGTTGATCTTTTATTCATCCTATTTTTACTGTAAAAGTTCGAGTCACAAAATTAATTTTGTCAAATGTATGTACATTAGTAGAATCATATTTATGAGACAAAGAAATTGACTAGGTAGATGAGACTCCTACTTACTGAGCGAAATGAAAAGTTCGAATCTCACCATTCTACGACAAAATTTCTCGTTCCCTTCCCCTTATTAATGCATAATCATAATTACATAGAAAGATTGCTCTCATTTACCACCTTTTCCTTGTCATTTTCCTACTTTCTCTCACTTAGAAGCCTTGCTTTGCTATATTGCTTGTGAATCTATGTCAACTCATGATCCAAGCAATGTTGCTCTTTTTGCAATGCAGTCCTTTTCTTTTTCTCTTTCTTTTTCTTTTTCTTTTCTTTATTCCTAGCTTTTACTTTGGTTTATTCCTGGCACAAGAGCTCTCTTTCTTTGCATGGTTTCCAAAATATAGTAGTTAGATCATTGTCTCTCTCTTTCTTCAAAGCCCAATTAGTTCATTCACATTCTATATCAAATTAACAAAACTTGAAAGGGAAGGTATAGGATTTAACAAGGGATTCTTTTCTCTTTACTATTACAATATTACTGTTGGTCTATAATTACAATGAATTTCCCACATTCTTCAAGATAAAATCCAGTAATTGTACAAGAAACTGAAGAAAGAATATTAGATCGTCACCACGTAAGGGCAGAAATCAAAATTTACAAAACTCTCAAGGGATGTTTTCTTCCTACCCAAATAGTACAGCTGAAAGTATATGCTTCTTTTATAACTGGATGTGCCAGGCCTCCTTTCCGGTCGCATTGAACCACCTTCGATACTGACCATTGGAGAGTGAACGGCAGATAAATATTATCTATGATTATGAAACCTATCTTTCACGTTGACGATTTCTGACAGTTGTGGGCCTCAGTGATCCCAGCCGTACCATTTCAGAGTATTCAGGGTCATCCGATTGACCATCAAGCCTTACCCACTGCAACATTCCATGGTACATTGGAAAAAACTTCATCTGAATCGCTGAGTACGAAAAGTACGGAATCAAAGCCGAGGTAACCGTAAAGAATGTGACCAACCAGAAAGAGGGAGCCAAGGCAAGGCACTCAACGAAGGTTTTGTAAGCCGTGGTGGAGATTTTGGGAGGCAAGGCTCCATATATGCAGAGAAAAATATACCAGAAAATAATTCCACCCCAGATGACGATATGTTGGAACACCGTGAAGTAACTAATCGCTAGTGCCATCTGGCAATTCACAACCCAGACAACACAAGAGTACATTGTTGTCCCGACGATTTCCAACCCGGCAACTTTTCCGTTACTGTTGAAGGCTTGAGGATCTAATGAGTTTGTGCAAAAGAAGAAGATGATGATTGCACTGCAACACCCATTGAACATCCAGCCTAGAATACGCCGCCAACTGAAGAGGACGTTATGTATGCCTTCTTGGTACAATAATGGAAACTGCCAAATGGAACAACACCCAAAACTTGCAGAATAAATTTTTATTGGGGTCAAAATAATCACAAATAGAAGCGGTTTAATTAGTTATACACTAGGTTTGCTATTACTCTAAAGCCCCGTTTGTTTTTAGAGATAGAATGGAGGGGATTAAGTAAAATTGTGTTTGTTTTGATGATAGTTGTTAGTGTAGGAATTGTTAAATTATTTTTATATAAAATAAATAAAAAAATATAAAAAATTAAACATTAATATTTAAAAAAAAATTCCCAATATATAAAAAATAAAAAAAAAATTCTAATCCTTTCATTATTTTTCTAATACCATCTCTACTTTCTCCATCCCAATCCCCCTTCCAAGGCCTTTACTAATACCAAGGGATTAGGAGTCCCCTCCACATCTCTCAAAACAAACACCTCATATAGTAGTCCCACCTCACTATCAATCCCAATCCCCTCCCTATAACCCCAAACAAACGGGGCCTAAGACACTTCTAAGAAGGTGGCGTGTTGGACACTTCTAATGCGTGAATTGCTTAGATGTACTTCAAATTGAATAAAATTTTAAAAAAAATGTGAAATTTTTGTCTCACCTATGTCAAAGGTTATAAATGTTTATTTTTTAGCAAATATTCTCCAAATATTATACAAAGTTGGAGAATGCAAGTGTATAATTTGGGTACAGGCGTCGGACATATTCCACACCCTTATCCTTGTTAAATCCAATAGAAGAGTCCATGTAACATAGTTATTCAGTTCAATAAAAATTACACAAATATTTCTTATTTTAACAGCAGTCTTAATATCTGTGTTGTTTAACAAATTTTGAACCAAATGTTATAATAGAAGAGCCATACCTTGAGACAAAATTGTGCAGATACGTCCTGGTCGAAAATCCCCAACGCAATCACAGGAAGTGATGTGAATAAGACATTGTACAGAGACAAAAGCCAATCATTGTATACAGGTTTCCCAGAGAAAGATGCATGAGCTTCATATAGGAAGACGGTTGTACCAAATGTGACATTTTTATAGAAGAAATAGCATATCTGCCAACAGGAGGAATAAATCAACCAAACCGACTATTATAAGATGGTACTAAAATTTGATGAAAATTTTAAAATGTAGAAACTCATTTAGCCATTCAACCATTTAAAAGTGTCAAATTAACAGCTGAAACCATCTTTGAAAATTTGGGATTGAAGTTTTAACACTGATTTCAAGTCCAAAAAAAAAAATGATAATATATGTGAGAGTCAATACCATTGACGATATCCTTCTGTAACACCAATGTCCGTGCACCAGTAGCAAGCGCTCCAAAAATCTGAACTGAGCAATTGAAATATCACATGCCATGACTGCCTGATAATTTGTAAAACAGATCAAAAGTATAGAAGAAATGCGATCAAATAAAATGAACAGTAGAGAATTTTGACAGAGTAAAAACATAAACACAAAGCATGTTCAGCTATTGGTTGAGCACCTGCATTCCTTCAACGCCACTGATTCCAACCCCAATATCAGCTTCTTGAAGCATTCCCACATCATTGGCCCCATCACCAATTGCTAATGTTATCTTCCCAGTTCCAGATTTAACAAGTCTAGTGACCTGTGTTAATTAATTATTAATTTATTGATTTTTTAGGATTAATCATTCCTCTTTAAACGGAGAAATTAAGAAACATTCACAAATAACAAAGAAGCCTGGACACAAATATAGACACAGACACAGTGCAAGCATGGAATTTATTTATTTATTTATTTTTATACATATGAATATAAATTTAAGATATTATATGTAGGTGTATTTTTATTTTTTTCTACTTTTTTTCCTCTTTTATTCCCGTACATTTTATTTTGACTCCAAATATGCTTTCTAAAAATATATAATAAAAAAAACTATAAAGGTGTCTTGAGCTTGTCCAAACATAGGACACGTGTCCATGAAGTGTTCCCAACATGTCTCACAAAAAAATAATAACTAAAAAAATTGACACCACGTCGTGTGTCAAACACATGGATACGTTACGTGTGTCCCCACCATGTTGGACACAAACCCGACACTCATCTTAGAGTGTCGGTGCTTCTTAGATGAAGAGAAAATAAGGGGGGAAAGGAAGGAATAAGTATGCAAGAAAGTTTGGCTACTAAGGAAACTGAACAACTGACCAGTGCCTTCTGTTTCGGTGAAGAACGGCAGCAAATAACAGATACGCACCGAACTGCAAGGTCTAAAAAAGAATTCTTCACGTCATTCTCTAGAGCATATGCAAGTGATTTCCCATCAATAATCAAAGCAAAGGCTTCGGAGTTTCCACTTGATGGAGTAAGCTGAGCCTGCCCTCCACGTATCTGGTCGAGAACACTCCTCTTCGAAGCCTGGAAGACAAATTAACAATGTCCATCAACATCACAAATAGGACCAGCATGTCTTAGTGACTAAACGAGACTAAGTTAACCTAAGTCTGAGATAAGGAGTATAATGTCATTTGTTCATTTGACATTTTCCCATGGCACATGACCTTAATTTTTCGAAAATTAACGTTTCAATTTGCAAATAAAATAAATTTAAATTAAGAAAAGATTGCCATATTTCCCATAAAGAGAACTTGGAATCTTATAACCACTCCAATCCAATCTCTAAGAAGGTTTTCAGGTTTAAACTATTAACTAGTAGGCATCTCCACTATCACTATAGAATCTCCGAAAGCAACAACTGGCGACAATGACTAACTTGCTCTGGTCATATGCAACAAAGTCCACTGGATACATTGACAAGGAGCAATATGATTGAATTAGATGAAAATTACTAGGACAAGATGAGGTCACCAAGGTGGGGCCTTCACTTTCCTTACATTGATGTGGATTGCCCCTCAAACTGACACGTTAGCTTTGAGGGCACCCTTTCCAAGAACTCCTACTAGGCAGGCCCTTTTGGACTGACCCTAGCCTAGGAAGGTACACTCGAGGTTCAGAGGCCACCCCTTAAGCCTACGAACTGGGCAAACGGGAGGAGATTCAAACCCTCATTAGTAACACGGAGAGCATACCCACTTACCAACTCGGATGACCTCTCAAGCATAAAAATTGTATGTTGTGGAGGAATATAATCACGCCATCATTATTTTAATTTTAAAGCATATCATGAGGCTCTCACTCTTTTAGGAAGCGGTTTTAGACTTAATTTGTAATTAAACTAATTATGTCGTCCTTAAAATTTAAAATATCTGAACTGCTAGATTTACCTTGGCAACAACATCCCTGTCTCCCCTTTTCTCTAGTGTTTTGATTTCTGGTGTCTCCAATTTTATTATTATCTGTTTCATCCCTTGCCGAAGCAAACTACAAGAGAAACTGCAAAAATTTAAACCTCTCAGTCAGAAATGTCTGAACAAGTAAATCTCATCTCACGCAAATAATATAAAAATTCATACCAAGTAATCATACCCAATATTGATGGCAGTCTCCATCTTATCCCCAGTCAATACCCATATTTTTATTCCTGCTTGGGCAAGCTTGTCAATACACTCAGGAACCTACCAGGCACAACAAAAGAAAACTCAATTTAAATTATCGGTAGTGATCTCTATAAAGTAGTCATTCTTATGATGACTCTTCTAGATAATTTTTTTCAACTCACCCCATTTTGGAGTTTGTCCTCAACCGCTGTTGCACCAAGAAGAATCAAATCCTTCTCAATCGTCTCTGCCACTTCATCAATCAATTCCTCCCGATCTGCACTGACTGAATTCTTGGCATCTTCGAATTTGTCATTGAACTCTTTGTACTCTTTCTCATCAAGTTCCCGATAAGCAAGTACCAAAATCCTCAAACCTATATCGGCATACTCATTCACATGTTCCCTGGTTTCCTCTTCAAACTCTCTTCCATTTTCAGCAAGCCTTTCAAACATGACACTGCATGGAAAACAACAACAACAACAACAACAAAAAATAAATAAATAAGAAGAAGAAACACAAAGTTGTTTTGAACACTCCCAAAAGTAATAATAAAGATAATCCACGTGTATGAGATTTCAGGTGACTGAAGCAGTAAATTCACAAACCTGTCAGCACCTTTACAGAGTAATAATAGCTTTCCCTCCTCATCTCTTACTATTACAGACATCCGCTTTCTTGAGCTATTAAATTCTAAAACATTTAAAAGTTTATACGACCTACAAAAAGGGAAGCACTCATCATGTCACATATAATTCAACTCTTTAAGTTGTTGATTACTTTTGAGTAGAGAAAGCCAAATCAATGCAACACGTGCAAGCACAAATTCAAATAAATTGAAGTATGATATATGCATGCATCATTGTGTCTGTATACATGTCATTCACATTATGATCATCTACCATCCTACCAGATGTAATCAGAAAAATAGGACATCACCAACACGGTGTTAAAACTGTACTCCACTTAAAACTTCTGTGGGGTCCAACTGTGGGCCTGAAGCGTGGTTTTAGGGCACCATGCCCTAAAAAGGATTTAGTAAGTAGGATCAGTTCCAATGGTAAAGTAGAACCCTCCTTTATCCCTCAAAAACACTGAAAGATCACTTGTTTTCCAGGATACAACCTAGTTTTTTGGCATCCAGTTTTACTCATTACCAATCAACAGACGGATTTCTCCTTATCCAAATCTAATGGATGGGATTGATCAGGGCATGGTACCCCAAAACCACCACTTGGGCACCACAGAAAAATCCACTTCTGCGACAATGGAACTTTGAAATGGAAGTGCTGGCAAGGTATCTGTATTCAAGCAACTCAACAGCACCTGCAGTTCTTTCTTAAAGCAAAAACGGAACAGCAACCAGAGGTACTGCAGAAGCTAAATAATGAACAGAGCTTTGGTGCTCTTTTTCCAATTAAGCATGTAAATAAATGCACATCGTGGATATAATGTGCATCTGACAGATGAGTTCAGATCATTCAGTGTTCATTCAAGTGGCAGCCAAGAGGGTGTAGCATAGACTTTTTCCATAATATAAAGACTACGATAAAATTTACATATGAATGCACCAAATTTAGAGAAACCAACCTTTCAACTTTTTTGCCAGACACAGGATCCAACTCATGTAACGAGACACTTGTTTGCCTTCTTTCATAGAATTCAAAGCCAAGCTCTCTTGCTGCAATCACAAATGCTGCTTCATCTGGTGACTCAGCTTCATATGAGACCTTCCCTTGATCATCCACCTCAGGTACGGCTGTATGACAAATTGCCAGTAAGCGAAAAAATTTCTGTATGACATTTGAATGGGGTTCCTTTACCCAATTCCCATTCATGATCCTTTTGTCCTCAAAATTGAAGCCTTTAATCTTTGATTTTGTAGCAGAAGCATCCTTAGCATAGTCCATTTCATTAGTCAACGGCGATCCTCTTCTTCTGGCCATATCCTTCTCAACTTCCGTAACACTGAGGCCATAAGCTGTCCCAGCCACAGAGCACTTAATGAACTCCATCAAATTGCAAGTTAATGTTCCTGTCTTATCAGAAAGTATTGTGTCGACTTGGCCAAGTTCCTCATTTAAATTTGACGTGCGGGCATGCGCTGGTTTGTCAGCTTCTTCGTAATACATATCAACATCTTGATTGATAAAGATGCTCTGAGCAACTTTGACAATTTCTACCGACACGTACAAGGAGATTGGGATTAAGTAGCCATATAACATCACGGCCGTCAAAAAGTGAAAAATTGAAGCAGCTGTGGCTCGTTTGGGATCAAAGAAAATAGTAGAATCGTCTGGTCTTAGATACCATCTTTTCATAGTGCCATTTGAAAGATCATCTTTAGTAGTAATTCCAAAGTAAATCGATCCAATAAAAGCTATCGTAAATAAGACACCAAATAAAAAGTAGATAATTTTATCCATTTTCCTCTCAATTTTGCTTCTCTTGGAAGGAGGGTCAGTAGAGTTCTGAATAACCTTTGTATCGGGACCGGTGAAGATAACAGCCCCATATATGTAGTCAGTGTTGCGGAGTTTTGAATCTCTAAGGAGAAGTTGCTTAGGAGTAAGGGGATGTCGTTGCTCTTCAAATTCCATACTTCCGACAAAAGAGTACAAATTTGCATTTGGGTCTTCACATTTAACAAGGGCCTTAAAATCCCTAAAATCAGAGTCATGTAAAAATGAAGTTACCTCTAATGCTTGTTTTAGTTTCAAATTTGTCTCTCCATCAAGGTTCATGGTTTCAACATAACAGATTGCATCCTCATAACTGGATGAAAGCAAGAGAAGATCTGCTGGAAAGAACTCATTCTTCTCCACTTTCACTATATCCCCTACTCTCAGATTCTTCCATTCAATGTGCTCAAAAACTCCATCAGATCGATGTACTTTAACCTTTCTATTGTTTACCTCAATATCCTGGGGGAAAAAAATCCAAATAAGGAGCATATGGAGCCAATGTGATCCTTGCAAATACATATATATATATATATATTAATTTTAACATTTCATTAGGAAAATAAGAACTGTCTGGTAAATAACTCTTGTGGTAAGCAAGAGGCAATGCCCTAGTAATCCCACATGGCAATATGCAGATTTTGATAAGATGGCATCTTCTAGTGATTCCAAGTAAAATGGAAACTCTATCTGCAATGTTATACATATTGCGATCTTCAAAAACATTTTGAGGTGATTATAGTAAGCAATTTAGTTTTGCAGCAAGAAACAATAATATTAGCATTATATACAACTTGGATGGTTCAGACATACCCTTTTAGTCCACAATCCATGGTGAAAAAAATCCAAATAAGGAGCATGTGAGAGTTTCATTTCTCAAAGACACTGCCTCAAAATTATGAACTATTCTAAAAAATAAATTCATCTGCCATTGAGTCATGGTCCATCCAATTTTGACTACTAATCACAACAAACATTTCTATCAATAAATTTCCCAAATCATTCAGAAGTTAGTAATTGCATTAAAAATAAAAATAAAAAATCCTATACAATGTAGATCAAAAACAAGGAAAGCATATAAAGAACTTGTGTAACCATTTAACAAGTACACATAAATGAGAAGTATACCTGCTGTTTCCGTCGCCAATCCTCAACGCCTTCCTTCACCATAGTCGCTCCGATCACAACAATTAGAGGGATAATAGCACTAACAGCAGTATAAGGAGCAAGCGGTGTGAAGGCCAATGTGCCAATGACAAGGAAGTAAAAATTGGCCACCCTTCTGAACTGCTCAAACAAAGCCTTAGGCAAGAAACTTAGTACTGTATATTTTGTACTCCTCACATGGTTGCCGGCATATCTACGAATTGCATTCTCAAATGGTTCGTTGCAATAAACCACTCTTGAAAATCCCGGTCCCCCAATCCGCGAATGATCTTCCTCAAATGATGCTCTCCCACATGCGAATGAATAGATCTTGCTAAAACGCAGCTTCTTTCTTTTGCCAGCTTTCATCTCTCTCGTTTCAACCATTAATTACTCAAACTAATCCCAATTCCAATCCCAGAAATCCAAACAACCCCAATTACAAGAACAAATTCCAATTGCAAATTTTTAATATTAAAACCCAGAACCAAAACCTCCCCCCACCCCCCACCAAATGAAAAATAAAATAAACTTTTAACACCCACCCAAAAATATAATTTTAAAGAACTCAACCCCAGAGACCCACTAAATTTAAATAATACAAAACCAAAACCCAGAAAAAATAATTAAAAAAGAAAAGAGGTGGAAGATAAACTTTACCAAATAAAAGCTTGAAGTTGAAGGGACACCAACAAGAGAGAGAGAGAGAGAGAGAGATGAACAAATGACAATTTCCCAGTGAAGGGGCAGAGAGATTTATGAATCTCAGCACACACAAAAAAGTACAATCTTAGTCAGAAAACAAAAATACGCAAAAAAAAAAAAGAAAAAAAGAAAAAAAAAACCTCTGATTCAGCTAGACCCAGGTCATGAAAATCACAGATATGATCCAAAATTGGGAATTTGACCTTTGACGAGGTCTGAGCGCTTTGAGAGTAGCCTATCCCATCTTTGGCATTGACTTGCGCACTGGCATTGACTTAAACAAACTTTCCAAAAATAAACTACTGAACAACACAAAAATCTCTCCTGTACAGCGATTATCAACAACTGTGAAGTGAAAAATTGGACATTAAAGAAGATAAATTTTGATGTGTTTATTGGAGCTGTAACGATTTCAGACTCACAGAAGTTAGATCGGTTTTTTTAGCGGGAAAGTTTTTCCAAGATATGAATCGATGGCGTGGGTTGTCTGCTCCGGTAGGTATTCCCTTCTGTGTCTTTGTTGTTGAGCGAAGCATCCCAGGCAAAAGTTTGCTCTGCAATTTTTTAGGACTTTTTTTTTTTTATTTTATTGGTGAAACTTTGGTCTGCTTCAATTAGACAAAAGTTTATCATATAAATAGAGTGTAATTAAGGTCAACTTTGACATATTGTAAAAAATTTTAAAAATTATTTTAAAAAGTTAAAAAGTTAATACTATTCATTAAAAGTCAACAATTACGGTTACACAACTCTCAATTTAAATTTTTTTCTATAAATCAATTTTTATAATTTTTTATTACACATTTTTCTATAAAAAAGTCAAAAAGTTAACTCAAACATCCATATTTTCTTCCTCAATTTTTTAGTCTAAAAAGACAAAAAGTACACTTATTTAAGACGCCCCAAACAACCCCTAATTATACTTGTGTAAATGAGAGTTTTGTATTACGAATTCATAATTAATTTCTTATTTTTATTTATATACTGTCTATATATATTTTATTTTATTTTCCTGTAGAGAGAAAAAAAGGGTAATAAAAAAAATAATATTCACCTTATTTGATTGGGAAAATCGGTCTAGAGACCCTCTCCTACTTTTCGTAATGGAAGAGATCCACAAAATTATTTTTTGATGTCTAAGGTCCCTAAACATATATCAGAGAAATTTCAGTCCTTTATACTATCTTCATCATCTGATCCACCGCCATCCCCAACAACTCGACTCTGAGTCCTCCTCATCTTCCAACACTTCCCAAAGCTTTACCCAGTGGAGATTCCCACTCCCAAACTCACGCATCTCACACCACTCTCACCCACCACCACCACCACCACCGCCGTCAGAATTTGACCCATCCCCACCCCAAACCCACCGACATTCTTACCCACAACCACCGCCTCCAGAACTCTTCCATCTCGCCGAGCTCCAACTCACTTCAGACTCCGATTCTGACCGACTCAATGCCCTCCACATGCTTCTTCTCTCGTAGAAGCCATTAACCTACGAACCGTGGTCTCAAACCGAAAAACTGCAGTACAAAGTCAAATGGCTTTTAAGAGGCAGCACCTTTGGACTCCTGAATGTCCAACTTATGCTCTGCTACCATGATACATGAATCTGCTTCCAAAAGTGAGGCCATGCTCTTACCCTTTTGTGGTGAATTGAGCATTTCGGTTGTGCACTGTACATCAGGCGTTATGCCAACCTGATCTATGTCATGAAGTGCTGGTGATAAATACTTCGCAACGGTGACAAATAGAGCTGATCCATCATGCAGCTCTGTAATACTCTGCACCAACAAAAAAAAAAAACCCAGAGAAAATTGAATGAACACCCACAAAAAATTTCAATTCAGAGAAATTTGAACACCCAGAGAAAATTGAATTTCTCTGGATTTTTGTGATTTTCTCTAGGAATTAATCAGTGAATTTCTTTGAGTTTTTGTGATTTTCTCTAGGAATTTATCAGTGAATTTCTCTGAGTTTTTGTGATTTTTTCTGGGGTTTGGAATTTAGAATCTTGTGTTTGAATTTCTCTAGTTTCAATCCAGAGAATTTCCCTGGTTTGTCTAGTTTGGAGAGAATTTCTGTGGTTTTGGACCAGAGAAATTTGTGGGTTTGTAGGTTTGTTAGACACGGGTTTAATTGTAGTTAATAAAGCCAGAGAAATTTGCGAAGTCAGAGAAATTTTATGGTCCTGAGCTCTGCTCTTCTTTGACAATGGCTCCGGTGAGGAACAGACCAACACCAAAGCCGATGTTGATGATGCCATGGCCCATGAGTCGTTCAGGCTGTCAGAGCTGAAACAAACATCTGTGACACAATTTGGGCTGCCGGACATTGATCGGAACTTTTGTTTGTTGGATCGGTGAATCCCTGATGTTGATTCTAGCATTAGCTTATGGAAATCCTCCACTTCGTCTTGTTTTCAACATACGGGTATATACATAAGCAATCAAGATTCAAGAACACAATGATGGACATAATTGGAATAGATCAATGCATTGACAAGAAGGTACAAACCTTGTAGATTTGAAGAATACCCGAGAGCTAGTTTTGGTATTCTACTGCGAGACAGGGCTTTAGATTACTGAAATTTCTCTGGGTCCTGTTGAGGGACCTTAGACATCATGGAAATATTTGATGTCCTTTATACTATAAAGTCTTAATATCAGGGACCTTAAAAAAAATTTCCCTATTTGATTTCTAATTTTTTATTTTTAGTGAATTTTTTTAATATAATTTTTTATTTTTTAAAAACACTTAATATAAATACAATTAAAAAGTATAATATTTGTGAAAAAAAAAATCTTTAAAAATTTTACCAAATACCAAATATATATATATATATATATATAAAGTGAATACCTTTTTATTTTTATATTCTTGTGTATTTATTAAAATTTTTAAATATTTTTTTACAAATATTTTACTTTTTAAGTATATCTAAGTTAGGTAAATTTAAAAAACAAAAAAAAAATTGTTTAAAATATTAAAAAAATTCACTAAAAATAAAAAAAGTATGAAAAATAAAAACTGAATTTTTAAAAAATTAGAACAAAATAATGTGACTTGTAATATTCAAATACCAATCATATATATATACATATATATATAAATTGGTAAAAGATATAAAAAGAGTGGTAAAATTTCACTACGATAATATCATATTATTATTAACATGTGATATTATACATCAATAAAATAATGAAACTATATAGATTGTTCTCTATACTATTATCTTTTATACGTCTTTGTATTTCATTTGTAAGCTTCACTTTGGATTCATAATAATGATTCAAACCGTTCAACTTGTAAATGTTAATATAAAGACCATCTATGTAAAAAATTAGTTTCATCAAATACCGATGATTAGATAAATAAATTATATTTTGTTTTATAAAATTAACAGTTCAAATTTAAGGGGATTTTTTTTCAGGATCTTTGGTATTAAGATTTTTATAGCATAAATGATATTTAATATTTTCATAATGTCTAAGATCTCTCAAATCAATCTAGAGAAATTTCAATCCAAACCAAAGAAAATTCAGTTCAAACTAGAGAATTTCTTTGGACCAACCCAGAGAAAATTCAGTTCAAACCAGAGAATTTTTCTGGACCAACCAGAGCAAATTCAGTTCAAACCAAAGAATTTCTTTGGTTTCTAGTCCAAACCAGAAAAATTCAATCCAATACACGAAGCAGAAGCAGCGATCGTTATGCACAAAAGTGAAAGACAATCCCGTCAAGAAAACACCTTATCTTCAATGTCTAGATTGCTTACGTCTACCTCATTTTTGGAGGTGATGTGTTCAGCTGGGCATAGATATTTTAAAGTGGTCCTTATCCTATTTAAAGTACCTCATTTCTTGAGACTAGGACAAACATCTTCTGCTTGGAAAACAATGGGCACATTAACCTTCAACTCTGATCCCTCATCAGCCCAAACAAACACCAAATTCAAAATCTTCCTACTCTCCTCATCCCTATGAATCTTGATGGGGAGAACAGTGCTAGATTCGAGGAGAATGAAGGAACTAAAACCAGCGTGGATCTGGAGAGGGAAAGTGGTGGAGCAGAAGAAGGGGAGTTGAACAGAGTTGAGGATGGCCTGAATCTGCGTCCTCTCGTTGGTAACGAGGTGTTTTCTGGAGGCCGACCTGCTGGTGGGGATGGTGGTATGGCCGCCGTTGTCTTGGGCTAACATGACGACAGGGATTCAGCCTTGGAGTCTGTCTATAGCGGAGACTTTGCGGCTAGTGTACTCCTTGGGAATGGCTTGGATTGTGTGGTATGATCACCGTCTTCACCGCCTCATCCTTTCTCGCAGCTCCTTCTTTACGGACTGATTTGATTTGAGGGAGTCAAATTTCTCTATGATATATGGGTGTAGAATTAAGAAACCTTAGACATCATAAAATAATATCGTGGATCTCTTTCATTACTAAAAATGAGAGAGGGATCTTAGACTAATTTTTCCTAAATTTAAACTCATAGCCGCTGTTTATTTTTTATTTTTTTTAAAAATTCTTTGTTCATGTTTTTATTGACATTCGATGAAATTATTTTTTTGCATAACTCATCTTTACTATTGGACTTACGAGATGAACAATTTAAATTATCGTAGGCTTCACAGTGATATGGAGAAGAGTCATTCCCTAATTGTTGGTCTATAAAGTCCAATAACTATATGTATATTTATCTACATAGTAAAATGTTAGTAATTTTTAAAAAATTTTTTTTTTGAAAAAGTTACCTGTAATCAAAAAAATTATTTACGAAGAAATGATAAATATTAATAATTATAATTATAATTTTTTTTTACTGGTGTGCAATAATTTTTGAAAATCACCCCTGAATAATAATTTCTCCATTTTCCCCTAAAAATAAAGGAAGAGTAAAAGTTTAATTAGGGTTTATAGATAATAATAATAATAATAAAAAAAAGTAATTAAGACATGTTAATCTCTTAAACAATTAAAATATTGTTTAGAATGATCTAAATAAATATATTTTTGATTTTTTATGAACAGATGTATAACATGATAAAGAGATGATATGATCCAAATAAAATAAAATAAAAAAGATATACTAAAATAACACATGTACAACTAGGGCTAGACATAGGGTTATTCGACCCACGAAAACTGCCCAACCCAAATCGTCCGCACCTATTTAGGTTATTTCGTATAGTTGTTAGGGTCGGATGCGGGTTAGGATTTTTTTTCTGTTTTGCCAGTCATGGGTTTTATCCACATCTACACTCATCTGCCCGCATATGTATATATTGTTTACCTTATACATTTTCTGCATAGTGAATGTAACTCAATTGACTGATCCTAACCTATACTTATGGTCTATTTCCTTCGAGAAGTAAATTGGATAGATAGGCTGTAATTTAGTTGGAATAAATCATTTGGAAAATAATGATTTCATGATAAGAACTATGTGATTTTATGGCCCAAAATAATATTTTAAAAATGGAGAGAAAAGGCCCAAAAATAATATTTAAAAAATGGGGTAAAAAAAGCTCAAAAATAAAATTTTGAAGGAAAAACTCAATCCGCAAACTATCTGCACATTCGTAAACCCTATTCGCACAAATCGCAATCCGCATGTGAACTATTGTAAGTTCAATTTTTTCTAAACCATAAACATGCAGACAGATCCAAATTGCAAACCAAACCGTCAAAACTCAATCCACGAACATCCCTATGTAAAACAATTGTAAGGATTAAAAAAGATGTTGTACCCTATTGCAACAAAGAGTGTGTAGCGTGCAATAAACGCCTCAATGACTCAGGCTTAATTTGGGTATTTGTTTAAAAGTTAAATTGTTTAAAAGTTAAAAGTTAACTTTTAATCTATTTTGAGTCACATATTTCTCTACTCTTATATATATATATATATATATATATTTAAAAGGAAAAAAAAAAATAAAAAAAATTTTTTTAACAAAATTCCAAAACAATCCTCTAAACAATTTGGAAGCGTGACCTCTCAATTACATTCCTTTTATGTACTTATTATGTAATTGTACATATATATTTATGTAATATTTATAGTATTTTTATGAGTTAATTGATGAAAAGTCTAAACCTATTTAGCCATAATTAGTGTTAGGTAAACATCTAAGTGACTCTTAGTTCAAAAAATTTAAATAGATAAATACTTAATACTCATTAAATTTATAAATATTTATATAAGCATTACATTATTAAAGTTGGCTAATGTTATTATATTGTACAGCTCAAACTTGTTTTTTACCCTATGTTCAATTTTATTTACTGATGAGATTATTTACCCAATGCTTTCTGGACAAGTCCTAAAGTTTTTACATGAGAAATGCTTCTCCTCCATACTCATATCCTTTATACTTTTTCATATTTCATTTTTGGAGCTCAATCCTAAATCTACAATAGTAATCTAAATTGTTCATCTTGTAAATCTCACAATGAAGACCGTTTGTGCAAAAAATCAATTTCATTGGATATCGATGAATACATAAACAAATTGTCTTTTATTTTATAAAATAAAAAGTTTAAGTTTAACTCACAATCACTACAACAAAATACAACTTTGGTGATTAAAACAAATTTAGTCGCCAAAAGTTTTGGAATTGGCGACTAAAACTCTTTTTTGGTCGCCAAAAGTATAATATTTAGCTACTAAATTTTTTTAGTCAGGATATATTGATTATTGGTGACTAAAAAATAATTTAGTCGCTAAAAATACTAGAATTGGCGATAAAAAAAAAATTTAGTCGTCGTATATTGAGTTTTGACTACTAAAATATTTAGTCGCCGAATGTAAAATTAAAAATTAATTTTTTATCTTTGGCGACCAAAAGTGTAGTCATCAAAACATATTTTCAGCGACCAAAAATTAGCTTACTCATCGTATATTAGGTATTGGCTACTAAAATATTTAGTCGCCAAATGTAAAATTAAAAAAAAAAACTATATTTGGTGACCAAAAGTTTAGTCGCCAAAACATATTTTCAGCAACCAAAAATTAGTTTAGTTGCCAAAAAATAAAAAATTGGAGGGAGACATTTCTAATTTAAATTTGAGGGATTTATAAAAGTAATTGGCTTTTAGTCGCTAATGGTGTAATATATATATATATTTGGTTTCCAAAATTTTACCAGCGCCTCTGTCTGTCTCTCTCTTCAGCGTCTCTTTATCTCTCCGATGCTCCTCTCCCTTCTCTCGCGATCGCCGGGAACCGGAGCATCGATTCCTACTCCTTTTGGTCACCATTACCTGAGATACATGATGAGTTCATGAACACCGATTCGGAGCCAAGATCCAGAACAACTTCGAGCCAAGATCGAAGATCTCAACTCCAAAGTCTCCTTCTTTAGATTCTGGACTCCCTTCGATGATTACCACCATCGCTCTACTCGTTGCTTCTCCAACATCGTTTTAGTCGCTTCCGATGACGATTCCGGTAAACCCGCGTCTAACCCCATTCCCGTCTCTGCCCATAAGGCTGTTCTAGTGAGTACCTATTTCGATTTTTAACTTTCTCTGTGTGTTTTTGTTGTGTATTGAATGTGTTTGATATGTGGATTGTGTGGACAAACTCTGAAATGGGTCGTGATGATAAACTCTGAATTTGGATCATTGGTTTAGGTGATTGTTTGTTTGATATGTGGATTGTTAAATTTTTTGCCCACCAAGTGTTTGAATCTATTCTCAAGTGACAAATTTATCAGAAACAATTGGAACATGGTCACCAAGTGTTTTCTTTCTAATTATTATGTGACACTTCTTCAATAGGTTTGGAATGTCTTGGGTGATGTCAAATGATAATTGTAATCTAGTCAGGCATTGATATTATGCATTCTGGGTTTGAAGAGTCATATTCCACAGAGTATTTCTCTCTTTTGCTATTTCATAGAAAATTTGACAAGACAAAAATGCGAGATTATTCAGAGGCCTCCACTTCATAATTGTGAAGGTAATGTAGCTGAGAGTGAAAGAATAGCTTGATACATAGCGATAAAAGCTGAGAGCGAAAGAATAACTCAATACACAACGATAAAAGCTGATAACGGGATTGGTTAAAGGGAAACTCTGCCATTTTTTCTCTTTCTTGTTGTAGACGCGCCCGCGTGGGCCTCGTGCTACGGTTCGGACTCGATTAGTGTCACGGTTCTTAATCTGAACTAAAGAGTCCAAATCTGGCAAATCGTTTGAGAAAACAGATTTTGTTGAAAAAGTAGTGCCAAACATGGACTGCTTTGCCAGATACAGAGTCGCCACCTAAATATTTTTTTTAAAATGGGAAATTTAGGAAACCCTGACTCGGTGCCGAAGGCCACATGTCCAATGGGGTGTCTACACTTGTCCTGTCTGCCTTATATTTCACCCAACAACTAATTTCTTCATCTCAGCTGATCGTCTATAATTTCATCTCTCTAGTATTACATGCTCATTGTATTGTTCCTAATCATTTTGGACCCTCTACATAGGGTAGTAGGGGTTTATCAGAGGAAGGAAAACTTCTGTGGGAATGCAAGGAGTTTGGGAAGGTAGCAAGTACAGAGGCTTTATCGAATTTTGGTTGATAAATAACCTGATGTGGTGTGGCTGATTACTTCAGAATTAAGAGGAATTAGGTGTTTAATGATGGTCTAACAAGATTTGGAGGTTGATGAGATGATTTTTGATTTTGTGAAGTGGGAGAAGATATTTATTGGTGAATGGGAGGCAAGTTTGGAGAACTTTGTTGTGAAATTTTGAGAAAGCTAAATATTAAAATTAGTGGCTAAAATACGTACTACGTAGTAACATGTTATAGTTATTGAATTCAGTTACATGTTCTTTTTCTTTTCTGTTCCTTTATGGTGAAAAACTGAGGTATTTATAAAACATTGAGTTCTGTTTGCATTCCATTAATCCATGGAATGGGTTAAAATGTCATATTATAAACTTAAATCTCAGCTATACTATTATGTTATCGTGTTGGATGAACAAATTTATAAATACCTTGTCAAGTAAAAGAAAATACTACTGCGTACATAATTTCTAATTGTCAAGATCTTTTTTTCCATATATGTTTCTACTTCAATCATTTCAGCTTGAAAACATATCTTATGAAGCAGGATTATAAACAATACATGATGGGAGAAATACAAAATTAATATTTGATAATATACAAGATTTTGGGAGCTATGCTTTTTAATGGATTTAATTGAATTGAATTGAGCCCTATGGTTTATACAGGACTATGATGGAGATGGGAAGCTCTCATTCTCTGAGTTCTCTGACTTAATCAATGCTTTTGGCAATCAACTAGCAGCTGATAAGGTTCATTAATTTATTTTTTCGTTATGTTTCTAGTTCTTAGCGCTTCTTTTGGAACTTCTTTTTGTATTAGGCCACTGTTTGTTGAATGTCTTGGGTGCATTTGGATACTTGGATTTGGATTTGACTGGCACATCTTTCATCAGAGGCGATGCAAATATTTCAGATATCCTTATCTCTAGTCCACATATTTCAGATATCCTTATTTTAGATATCCTTATCTCTAGTCCAATCAATCACTCTATTTAAAATTTGGAAACATACATCCAAAAATAGGCCTTTAAACTATATATAATTTTAGTTTGAGAACAGGGACAATACATAGAATGAAAATTCAGACTATGTAATAAATGTGTTCTTTGACAAAATATTATAATGAATCCATTAAACCAACTAGAAGTAGAGTAGTATAATTGCTTTTAAGCTTTATACTACTATTCTAAATATTAGAGGCCATTAAATGAAATTTATTTGTTTGTAGTAAAAATTAATAGTCTTAAACACCTATCAAATCCTTGGGAATTTTGTTGATAAATTACTGTAGCTGCAACAAATTGCACTAACATACCAAACTTGAGATTGTAACCAACCCAACAATGAAAGTTCACAGCCATGTTCAGGTTTCTGTGGTAGATGATTATTCATTATCAAATGTTTCTAATTGGAAAACCACTCAACATATTGTAGACACCCCATTTTTGACCGACCTTAAGACTCAGACGTCATCGATTGAGCGCTCGGTGATAATGCATGTTGTGCTCGTTTCGAGTTTCCGGAGTTTCGGCTGAGTGCCTTGCCTCCAGACCTCTGAACTCTTTATGCTTCGGCTCGATTTGTGGACCAAGCCTCGTTTTCCTTGCCTGAGGGAAGGAAAGGTCTTGTAGACCACTTTTTTGTGATCGTAGACCACTTTTCCCGCTTGGAGACTAGTTTCCGATTTTCGGAGCCTTCGGTTGTGCGCCTTGTCTCAGGACCACTTAACGTTCTCCGTTTGGCGTGGTTTTTGAACCACACCTTGTTTTCTTGGCCTAGAGGGCCACTGTGGTTTGGGAGACCACTTTTGTGGTCGCAAACCACTTTTGGTGCTTGTTAGCTAGTTTTGGGGTCTCCTGGCTGTGCGCCTTGCCTCCCGGACTTTCGTCTTACATCCATTTTGGTTTGTTTTTGGTACAAATCTTGTTTTCCTTATTTGGAAGGTGGTACAAGGATGGGAGACCAGTTTCTCTCCCCGCAAACCACTTTTCTTCCTGCCAGCCAGTTTTCTGGTCTGACAACTGGTCTCCTTGGTCTTTAGGCCATTTTTTCTGGTTGGCCACTACACCACTACATTGTTTTCATGCTGCTAACCCTCTCCCACCATGGCCGACCAATTTCATTTTTGGGAGACCACTTATAGTGGTCGGCTGACCACTTGAAGTGGTCGACTGCTTTTTGTCACATTTTTGGAGATATTTTTAGCCAGCTAACACAGCTGGAGAACACTGAAACCATCCTCCATACACGTGTATGGAGGAATGGCCTTGAACCCTTAGCTTCTTTAAGAAGCTTGAGCTTTTGTTCTTTATAAGAGAGAGGCTCCCCCTCCCTCCTCCAGGTTCAGATTTTAGTGGATTGAGAGATACATACACTCTTGCCTCTATAATCCTCCATCTCTTTCATTTTTGTGCCTTAAAATGTCATTTTATCACACTTTTGTACACAAACACACACTCAAACACCATCCTTTTGTTGCTGAGGTGCTTAGGAGCTGGTTTTGAGGTTTTTGGTTTGGTTTGAGTTGGAAAAACTTCCTGGAGTTGTAGCTTCAAAAGTGTTCTTCAAGGGTGAGCCTTTAACTCCTTGAATCCTTATTTTTGTTTAAGCTTTTAGACCTATTTGCATGGTGTTTTCGACTTAACTTTCTACTGCAAAAAGTTCTGAATTTTGGTGCTTAACATCTTTGTTTAAGGTCACTTTTGTGTTGGGGGTTGTCTACCCCCTCTTAAGCCTTGTTTGGCCTTGCTTTTGTGCCTTCTTTTTGAGCTTTTGGGACCACCTTATTTTGGCCTTCTCACCACTGAAACTCAGAGGAATTTCAGTGGTGGAAGTGGTGTTTTGAGGTCCCAAATAGGAGAGGGTCATCACATCTCCTTGTGTCTTGTTTACTTGCTTTGAATGCCTCATGTGTGAGCATGTTTGTTAAGCTTATGTTGGCCATATCTTAGCATGTATTTGGGGTTGTTTTGTTGTGGCATACCATTGTTTTTACTTGGTTTTGTCACTCCATGCATGCCTAATACACTTGTAGTGTAAATTCCACAAACTAGTCTTTGTATGCTTTATGAAGTAGCATGCCATTCTAGCTTCATTTGAGTCCATCTCAGCATGTTTTTGGTGATGTTGTGCCATGTCATACCTCTGTTAAGGTTTGGTTTGGTTGGCCTTTGCATGCTCCATGCACTTGTAGTGCAATTCCATGAATTAGCCTAACATGCATCATGCTTAAACATGTCATTCTAGCATGCTTTTGGCTTAACTCTAAGAACCTTTTGTCCATGCTTTAGCATGCTTAAGCTCTGATTTGTGTTGTTTTGGTCATGCATGCCATGCTTTATATAGCTGTAGTGCATTTTAGCTTGTTAGCTTTGTGTATCAAGTTCACTAGCATGCATTACTTGGACTATTTGAATGATTTGACATCATTTAAAATGTGATTTCAGTCCATGTTTCATGTTCATGCACTTGCATTTATCACTCTTTCAATGCGTTTGAGGGTTTCTCCCTTTATGCCTTAACATGAGCCATTGCGTATGCTTCATGCCTAAGCTTGCGAGCTATCACTTCAATGTGTTTTGGGGGTTATTTTGCCATGATATAACTCTGATTTTTGTTGGTTAAGTCATTCCATGCTTGGTCTTAATATGTGTAGTGTAATCCACCTTATTTGCCTTGTATGCATTATGCCTTATGCCCTTCATGCTAGCTTGCTTGGGCTTCCTTCCATACATGTTTTAGTATCATTTTGACATGTTCTAGGACTGTTTTGGGTTGCCTTGTCCATATGCTTCATGTTTTGCATAGTTGTAGTACAAATGCCTATGCTAGCTTCAAGCTTTGGGTACCATAACATGCTTCATTTGTGTTGTGTACATGATTTGGCATCATTTACCATGACATTTCAGAGCATATAGGACTGTCATGTTCCCACTTCATTCACTCTTTAAGTGTCTTTGAGTGTTATGCATTGTTGCCTTGCTTGTGGCCTAGTTTGTATGCTTGCATGCCTAGACACTTGAGCCGTCATCTTAGCACCTTTTGGTCTTTGTTTAGACCTCTTTGAGCTCTGTCCATATTTGGTTCATGCATTTGTGCCATGTTTTGCATGCCTCCTATGTGTTGCTCTTTGCCAGTCTCATGCTTTAAGGACCTTTGCATGCTATGCTTGCTTTGTTTGAATGATTTGGCATCATTTCTTACCTCATTTCAGTGCATTTAGTGTTGTCACACTTCCATGTTTATCACTCCTTGAGCACTCTTGAGAGTTGTGCTCTTTGGCCTAGTCGAATGGCCAATGCATTGTGCATGCATGCCTTGCCCTTTTGTGCCTTTGTTTTGGTGTTTTTGCCACTGATTTGGGCATGACCGAGGTCTGCCCATTTTGGTTTAACTCCATTGAGGATTGTGTATGCCATGTGGTTTATTGCATTGAGTATGCCAGGTTGTTTGCATTTTGATTCATCGCATTGTATACGCCATGTTCTTTGCATTGTGTATGCTTATATTATATTGCATTGTGCATGCATGCCATTAGCCTTGTTAGGTTGTTCATATTGCATTGCATGTTTGCATGCTTAAGTCATATTGCATATTTGCATGCTTGTGTTGTATTGCATTTTTGCATGCTCCATGTTACATAGCATTGTGTATGCCATGTTATGTGTTGCATTTTGTTTAGAATAGGTGTTAGTCCAAACACGAGAAACAAGGGACGTTTCATACTTGAAGTGATGAAACGTGCATCGATTCTCGGTCGTCGACGCTCCGGATTACCCATGATGGAGTTTAGGCGTATTTAAGTATATATGTGTGCATTCATTTCTTATTGAATTGTGCAACTTCCCCTCTCGGCCATCATGCATCAAAATGCACGATTGGTGGCCCGAGGGTCGAGAACCATACTCCCTTGAGCTTACGAAATGATAGAGAGGGTGGTTGTGCACACATATCTTGCAAATACATTGCCATGCCCTTTCTTGCTCTCTGTTGCAGCAAATTGGAGGAATGCAGCAACAACTGGTCGACCAGCCAGAAAAACTAGCTGGCTGACCACTTTTTCTACCCTATAACAACAAAAAGTGATCGGCAGGTGGTCTCCCACACCAACAACTAGTCGGCCACCCTCCTACAGGTCCTCAACATCAGTTAGAAGCTATCTAGAGCTTGGTGCAAGTTTCTGAGAGCAGTTGCAAACAGAGGCAAGTTGGGGCATCGCGACGGATTTCTGAACGAGGCGACCGGGCATGCATGCATTCTTCCCTTTGAGGGCCTTGTTTTACTGCTTTACTTAGCTAATTTGCTTAGCTAGTTTACGCTTTGGTTTGTACCTTAAGTAGTTTATGTATTTAACTATTCAATTGTTTTATAATAGTTAGTTAACTATGATTAGTTAATTAGCTTTATTCTATAATAATTAGTTTAATTAGCTTAGATTAGCTAGTTAGCTCTTTATTCGGTCCCTCCATCAAGAGGGCCAACTATTGTAATAAGCGTGCGTGTGTGTGATGCATGTCTTCTAACCCCCATTTATTTCTCCCTTTTACTTAACCGCTTACGATGGTTACTTTTAGGGCATATTTTGTTTAGCATACCTTATGCGTGCATCCATTCATCTGTTTTGTATGCACCGGGCTTGGCACATCATACTAACTGCATTGTATTTCAATACACTTACCTAAATACGTGTTCAAACAGCAAGTTATCAATCTGCATTTCACATGTCATTTTAGAATAGCCGAGCCTATTTTAATTACATTTTGCATGTGTTGCATTAGCCATCTTAACATGAACTAGGATCATGCATGATTTCTAACTAGTTCTTTGTTTTGGCCCTGAGTACACTGTAAGTGTTTACGCTTTAGCATACTGCATGTGTGTTAATGTTATCATGAAAGCATGCTTGCCATGAGGCTAACTGTTTATTTGATATAACTGCCTAAATGCCTGTGGGTGAAGGTTGGATTGCTTGAATTGGAATAATTCATCAAAATTCTCGTTTTAGCCTACTTGCGAGTAGCAAACTTCAAATTATTTTCACAAACGAACATGCAATGTTTTGTTCCAACTTAGGCGATCTAGTCTATACTTGTATGTTGTGCGCATCACATAGTAATTCTAGGTTAATAACCGGAATAAGAACACATGGATTTTCAAAAACAAAATATCATGTTAGTAAAGGCCGATCTTTGATCGGGCGAGCGGGGATTCTCATTGCACGATCTTCCCCTCTCGTACCCAAGTTCCTGAGCCGAGGCAACTTTGGTGATGACAGACACGTGGCCTTAGGCACGAGTCAAGATTTCCTAAATTCCCCCAAAATAAAATATTTAGGTGGCGACTCTGTATCTGGCAAAGCAGTCCATGTTTGACACTTCTTTAATAAAAATCAGTTTTTCAAAATGATTTGCCGGATTTGGACTCTTTGGTGATTTATCAATCTTGCATTGCACTTTGCAATATTAGATTCAGAACCGTGACATTGAGTCCGAACTGTAGTAGCTCAGAACAAAACGAGATCCGCGCCCTCGCAGTGCAGATATCAGAGAGTTCCCAGGGCGCGTCTACACATGTGTGAACATGGATTATTCTATTTTCATTTTATAGCATTTGGAGAAAATGACAACACAAGGAATGCTAGGATCATATAAATGTTAGTGATAAATGCGGGAAAATATGTCCCATCATCTTCTCATTATGTGAATATTGTGTTAATGCTTACCAATTTTCTCAGTGCATGTCGAATATCTAATTCTAGTGTCTGTCTGGATTAATTGGGGGTGAATTGAGATGATTCCCTGTTTACAAGTATCCCATACTTTTTGGGTATTTTAAAAACAGACAGTTTAAATAGAAAATATATCCAAAATTATGTGTTAATGATATTTATAAAAATTATGGGGACAACTGTGAAAAATGTGTTGAAATCGATAACAAGTGTTTCATGTTTTTGCTGTTTTTTCCCCCTCGTGTCCTGGTTTATTTTCTTCTTTCTTCTCATCCAAAACATGATGCGATGGTCTAAAACAACTGGTTAGCTAAATGTCATGATTAAATTAATGAAAAAGTCCAGTCCAAGTATTGACAAAGAAAAAGCTCTTTATCATTGATTACCTATTAGCTGGATTATTTATTTTTGCTCTATTTTTGGTTTGTAATAATATTCTCTTTCCCGATGTGAATAGCATATGATTAACTGGACAAAAGTAATAATACTATTAGTAATTACTTTTAAAATTCATCTATCATAGCGATCATTAATTACAATCACTTGAATTTGGGAGGTTAATAAACTCTTTTTGTAGCCCCACATGCAAAGATCATTTTTTTTTTAATCTCATCAGTACTTCACATTAAATTGATCACAATATAAAAAATTACTGAATAGTTGTCGTTGTGGGCCATTAGCTTAATTCGTATATATTATTGGACTGTGGCTTTAAAACTAAATTTTTCGTTAGAGCTTTCATCCTCTATAACGGGCTTATTAACTGCATCAAGTGGCTCAAGTTCAATTTTTTTATCAAGCTCCCTCTATGGCACATGCAAGGTTCCTTAATTATGTTAAATGTTTCATAATAATATCTTCCAAGTATGAGTATTTTTGTTTCTCGAAATGACTTATTTTCGTATTGTAGGTATGGGACCTTGTTACTGGAAGACTTTTACAAACTCGAGTTTTTCCACTACCAATTACTGCAATAGTTGTTGATCCAACAAAGATGAAGTTATTTTCTGGTGGTATAGATTACTAGTGATTTTTTTTTTGTATACGGAGGACATCATTTTTGTATGATTATCTGTTTGTATGGAATTATTATTTTGGGTTGGATTATATTTGGTTTGTATAGAATTTGAAGTTACAAGACCAAATTTTTGGATGGTTGAAAGTGAAATAGAAATAGACATATGTATTATTTTGTTTATATACAGGGTGCAGGTTGCATGAAATAAATACAGGTTGTGCAGAAATTAATAATAATAAAAAAAAAACACTAAATAAAGTTTTTGGTGACTAAATGTTTAGTAGTAAAAAACAAACCAAAGATTTTTTGGCGACTAAATATTTAGTAGCTAATAATAAATAATACTTTGGGCGACTAAAAGTTTTAGTCACTGAAAATGAAAATTAATTTTATTTGAAAACTTTTTGTGACTAAATATTTAGTCGCCAATTTATGACTTTTGGCTACTAAAAAATATTTAGTTGCCAATACCTCGTACTTTTCCCTACAAAAACATTAGTAGCCATTTATAGGACTTTTGGCGACTAAATTTTTTTTAGTCGCCAAAACCTTCCCCGACCGTTTTCTCCCGACAAATCTAGCGACTAAAATATTTAGTTGGGAAAAGGCTTCAGCGACTAAAAACCTTACTTTTGGCGACTAAAACTTTAGTCGCCAAATGTGCATTTTCTTGTAGTGAATTATTGTCCATTTAAAAAAAAATAAAAAGATGCAATTTATTTAAGTATTTAATGATATCCGACGAAACTAATTTTTTACATAACTCATCTAATTATTGAGATTACGAGATGAACAATTTAAATTATTATTGTGGGTGTAGAGTGGAACCTAAAAAATGAAATATGAAAAAGTATGAAAATGAGCTATCCCCAAATTGTAAAAAATGAAAATTGACATACTAACAAAAATGGGGGGAAAAATGTTTGGGAATAGTCAAAGAGATCTCAATTTCTATTGAGTGTGAATGCTTTTCTTTTGGTAGTGTTTTTTTATTTTTTGACGTGGCTACGGCTATGAGACCAACCTGTTTTTTTTAATGAATGATCTATACGTTGTAATCTAAAAATGAACAATTTAAATTATTGAGATAAGACTCCATCGTAGGTCTTACAAGTCCAAATAGTAGTATTCAGTCTACAATGTAGACTGCAGACAAGTTATTCTCTTTTTTAAAACAAACCATCAATTTTTTTTTAGTAATAAACGCCATAAATTGTTTTAAATAACTTCTTCTTCTTTTTTTGGTTCATTTTTACATTTTTACTTTTTTTTATCTCAACTTTCGCTATTTATTCTCACACATTACTATTAATTGTCGCCTACTGGCTAGAAAATTGCCGGAAAAGTCACTGGTGACCAATGACGGCAGTAGACAGAGAGACAAATGGATGATAATAATGTAGTCTTTCAAATTATTGTTGTTCTTGTGGATAAAAAAATAAAAAAAAAAATCTAAAAAATAATAAATTTGAACTGCTGGCCGGGTGCCCCAAAATAAACAGTTCTTTTACCAAAAAAAAAAGTGAGGTTAATATGTGATAGGTAATTTTGCCCAAACCAACTCAGGAGAAAAGTTTAGTAGGAATTTCTATCAATTTTTTTTAAGGGGATGTTAGAGCATTATGAATGGGATAGTTAAGTTTTTCTCTGTTTATCATGTTTTTTTTTTTTTTTTTGTTTGGGGATTGGGTGTCTCAATTAGTTTGCGGTGCTCTTGACTAATTTTATGATCATGAAGTTAACGATCGAACAAATCTCCAATAACTTTTGAGGTGATTCGAATTCAAATTCTTAAATTTTATTCTCAAATCTTTATCATTCGGCTAACTTTTTGAGGTTATGATAACATTTGTATTAACTGGTAAAAGTAAAATTTAATTTTGTATATTAGTATATGTTAATTTATAATTCAATAATTTAATTAAAATATGTGTTAAATGTAAAGTAAATTCAAATACTCCCTCTGTCCCAAAATAATGGTCTATTTTGGAGAATCTAACTTTTTTTGGTAATACAATTATTGCATTTGAAAAAAGTTGATTTTCCAAAATTACCCTTTTGATAGTACATTTTTTGGGAATATCAATGTCATAATTGTACTTTTATATTGTTTATTAATTTAAAAGAAGGACAAAATAAGAAATTTATATTATTTTTGTACTTGATTTTTGAAGAGGGATTAATATTTTGAGACAATGAAAAATGGAATAAGGGACTAATATTTTGGGACGGAGGGAGTATAGGTTTAGGCACTGCTCTCTCTCTCTCTCTCTCTATATATATATATATATATAAAACCATGCTAACTGCATCAGTTCAATCAATACATACTTTAACCAAAAAGCTAACAAAACATTTAACACACCGTTGAAGAGGTTGAGTGTGCCGACTGTAATTAAACATTTAGGTTGGATATGAGAATTGCCTTTTTTGTATTTTTTTTTTTGAGTGTTTTAAAAAAATTGATGCATTTAGCACTTGTTATTTATTTATTTATTTTGATTAGTGGGAAATTGAGTTTTTAAATTTTTTTAATTTTACCCAAACACACTTTTGTTTTTTGGCTTATTGTACAAGTACAAAATAATTCTTCTCGTATAATCCTGTTGATCAAGTTTGCGCTCCTCCAAACGTCGTCGCTTTACTCCCTGAAAATACAAACATAAGCTAGCCGACGGGTGTATATCGGATACCTCTCTGATGCCTAAGTCAGCAAAATAGACAAGTAGACAAAAGGTCTGTGTATTCGAGAATCAAAGTTGTGTTACCTCCTCCACGGGTTCTGTTATGAGCTTTTTATAGGTTCCGTGTGGCACAATCCTAGTAGAATTCTTATTCCTCCATGTAGAGTCCTCCTAGGAATCACACTCCTGAAAGATAATGTTTTTCCTTCAACACCCCCTCACTACTTAAACCAAGTGAGATGGTTTTACCTCAGTAGTATGACAAAACGACCGAGCTAACATGGCCATGCTAAAGCGGCAGAAATGACCGAGCTCCAACTGGCTTGGTTCTTCCCTTCATTGCTTGTACCTCAGTTTGGTCCGTTGAGACCAAGCTAACCGTAGTAAGCTTTGCCCGAGCTAACGAGAGTAAGGTCCACCATAAGAAGCCCAAATACCTCAGTTTTGAATACCATGACCGAGCTAAATATCACCATACCGACTGTGGTAACCACAACCGCAATTGGACCAAGCTAACCGCAAGGTCCTTTCACTCGACCCTTTTTACCGTGGCCCACAGAATGGCCCATTACCACGCCTTGGCCTTGCTCGGCCCTAGTGCATATAAAAACTTCCCTCTCAATTGCCCCTTAATTCTATCTACGCAGCATGATTGGGATTACCTATTACCAGCCGAGCTAAAACTTTTAGCCTTTCAACCGAGCTAAATTGACACCGGGCTACTAATCTGTCCGGTCAAAACGTCTTTTCAGTCGCTGTAACTGAATCGCTTTCTATTCCATGTACACGTGGCTAGATTTTATTGGCCAAATACAGCTGCCACGCCGCCTTCGTACTTCGCAAAATTTGAACAGTCCCTCCTTTTTCACTCTCTTTACACAAAACCAAACCCTATTCTTCAAACAAAACATATCACTATTCATTATTTTCTCTCTCTCTACCTTCTGAGCCTCCATTTTTCTTCAACACTGCATCTGCAAAGCTCATGTTTTCTACTAGTTCCGTTTTCATCTTCGTTTCCAAGATCTTTAAACGGGTACGTGGCTCAAACCTCTTTCGTTCCATTCAGTCTTTGTACTTAGCACGGTCCAACGATCTGTGCTTAACACTTTTCCTTTTCACTTTGCAGACTGACTTAGGTTGCCCAGACACTCCTTTGAACGCTTCAACTAGGATACTCCACTCCTTCTCAACACCAAGCTAATTTATACCTTAATTTAAATCCACATGGGTAAATATAGATTTTTAGTAAACTCCCCAGGGGCAATAGCCGAGTTCCGAAGAGACTACAGTATCCCTGATGATGTCCACCTCTTACTAGCCGAACTAGACATCATTCCCTGGGAAAAACCGAGCTTTGTCCCTTTCAACGTCATATCCATTGTAGAAGTCGGACTTTGATTCCCCGTCCAACCACTCCTTTGTGAGTTCCTTAGGCAAACAAGACTTTGCCCTACCCAGCTTTCCACTAATTCTTACCGAATAATAAATGGCATCGCCGAGCTAAATCGTTAGCTTGGCCTCAACCTCGGTTTAGCCAAGCTATTTCACCAGTACTCTCTAGGCCAGAACGACGATGGCTGGGTTTATTATTTAAGAATAAGACGCCGTCGAGAGAAAATAATAAAAAACACCCAGGACAAAGATGTAAATGATGATGATTTTTTCTGGGTCTCGGGCAACTTCGAAGACCAAGAAGCCCAAATACCAGGAGACCGGATCAACTGGAATAAAAGAGTAGCTGGTATATATACCTCGGTTCAGTTTTGTGCTTTCTTTACTTCGTTGGTCCCGTTTTCAACCGTACTAACCGTTGTCTTTTTCTTTTATACAGACTTGAACCATCTCAAGTTCTAGTATAGCTACCCCAATCTTGACACACTCCGCGCCGCACTGAGATATCCCAATCGAGGTTGGGCTGAGCTACTCAACTTTGAGCCGATGTATAGATACAGCAGCAGGCCGAAGACCAGGGTGATAGACTTCCTCTTGAAGCCTTCGCCAGAACCAGATCCAACCTTGCCTCAAATCAACCTGATCCCATTAACTGCAGAACAAGAAATGGCTAAGAAGAGAGCAGTAAGGGCCCTCATCACTGAGACAAACCAACCAGAGGCACCACAAGCCGGTCAAACACAAGAGGCCATGGTAGCCCTTCCAACCGCTCAGCCTTCTTCATCTCGGCCAAGCAAGCGTGCTCGGACATCCGCAACCGAGCCACGCCTTGTTGACGAGGATAAAACCGTGCTTCTCCAAACCACGCCACCGAACCCACAATCAGAGCACTCTGATTGAGCTAGCTCTTCTGAGTGGGTGCCAAAGATCACCTACAAGAACCGCGTTATCATTGACTCCGACTCAGTGGTCGCAGAAAAAGACCATTCACTGGCCTTTAATCTTGCCAAGAGCATCTGCCTTCCAGTCGATATGGAGCACCACGATCATCTCACCGAGCTGAAGGCCATTCGCTCGGCAACAAAATCAATGGTGTTGGTAAGTTCTTCATTTTT